ACTTTTGATTTATATTGCTGTACAGTCTAAACTCTAACATATTGTCTCAGATCCCTTTATCACTATTATAATTACATAGAAAAAAAAGCATCAAGTACATTTACAAAAATATAGCTAAACACAAGTTTAACCTATTATATTTTAGAGGAACTCACCAAAAAATAATATTACTAATGTAAATAGGTATAGCTGATTTAACCAGATTGTCAGTTAATCATTGTAATTTCCTATGCTAGTTTTTAATTTTTTTTTTTCAAATGTAAAAACAATTATACAGTTAAAATTAAAACAAACAATATATGAAAATCAAAAAATGATTGAAACAATTTTTAAAGTTTAGTAAACAAAATAACAAACGAAAAAACCAATAGTTTAATGGAAAATATTGAATTGAAAAAATAGTAATAGTATAGTAAATGAAGAGTATAACAAAAAGTAAATATCATAATTACATAGATTATGATTTTTACCATCGCCTTTTAATAAAACGGTTGCTATGAGAATTGAAAAATTTTTATTGTTGTTTTTATGATACATATAAGCAAGTTTTGTTTAGAGAGTTATTTTAAATAAAACTTAAATGCTTATTAAAATAGATTTTAAACAATAATAAGGTGTACCTAATTCACTTAGTTGTAATATTTGTATTTACTAATCCACCCATAAAGCATAGTATAGCTTATGTTAAGGTGGTTTTACACTATCGTTTATTAAGGCGCATTGTATAGGCAATTTTTGCTATAACTAAACATTAAGCCAAAAATGTTTAAACATAAATTTTACCATAGGAATGAAGTATCTATTTTGATAATTAAATTTTGATTTTTCAACTCTTACAACTCATATAGGATCTACTTTTTGTACAATAACAGATACATTATATTTTTATTCAGGGGACGGTGGAGAGTGTCCAGACACAACCTAACCTGCCCATTAATAATAGTTCATTCACAACTATCACAGCTACTCGAAGGTTCGTTGTTTACACAATAGTCATATTATTAATTGGGTATATTATAGATCATTTAATAACTTGTCAACAACTATCAACCAAGTATCACAAAGTGTCGAGACAAGATAAAACACTACAATTTGTATGAGATGTTTTTTACAGGGTTTCTGAAAAAGTCTGAGTGTCTTGTTTTGCATTTATAAAATGCTTCTTAAACGGCTGTTGTGCCGGCAATGAGTTTTTTGACTATCATTCGGCATCCGTTATTATTTATTTCTATGTTATTAAATTTAAATTAAATCTCATTGTAACACCCTAATAAAATCAACGGTGTTCTGACAAGAAACGAGAACACTATTCAAGGCTGAACCGACAAAAAAAAATAAGGTGTAGGTATATCATAATATTGTACATGATATATTATATTATTATGTCGTGGTATAATTATTTTTGACACAAATAATGATTTATGTTTTGATTATCCTCCCTCTGTATGCTTTACTTATTTGTATTATATAATAATATAATAAACTGGCCGAGTAACGACGGTATTCTAGAGAGGAAGCTGTATTATTCTGTCATAAGCAAAAAAATCTTTTGATTTAAACGTTTCCTTATCTTCGCAAACGAAAATAGTATACAACAGGTAAAATGGCGTTTTGCGGTCGGTACAATATCCTAAGGTCATTTCAAAAATGCTATCTAAATGTTCAGCATTTACTTTAATAGCGCATTGTCCATTTTATATCATAATACACATTTAACATTCTGTCAGCCGGTTTCACCAACTATTGTTAAATACACTCTAAACACAATGTTAGGTAACAATTAAAAGAATTAAGTTTCACCATAACATTATTATTGTTAAATTTTATTTGTTAAGTTATCAAACGTTAGTTGGGTTACCAAAGCGGTTACCTCGATTCCAACGTTCTCATTGGTTGATAAGATATGTGATAACTGATAAGTGATTGTATTAATTAATTTGTCAGTTTGTTATTATTTGGCATTTTATTTTACTTTCTTTTAACGTTTCGGTTTTTATAAATAATTTATATATAAAGTTTTAACACATTGTTTCTATACCTTTCTAAAAAAAGTTTGTCATAAAAATATTTTTTTTATTTAGAAGTCTTAAAATAAAAGTAGATAGTGATAAGAATTATTTTCATTTATATACTCATATCAGGCAAGACATAATAATATTATCTAAATTGCAAAATACAATAAATTATGATATTTGAACCTTTAATGTGAGTTTTTGCAAATGATGTTGATGAAACCGGCTGTGAACTTACATATTAAAAACAGATCCAATAAACATTCTTTTAATTTCTTCAATTTTTTTGATAGATTTTCGTTTGTACTATAAAACAATAGTATTGCACTTGAATTTTAAAAATATATTATGCATACAGAAAGGTTTTGTTGTACAAATACATGTATAATGTAATATATAGCATTAACACTTTATTAATGAGTTTTAGTTTTAGACGTTGTTAGAAAAAATGCTAATATTGTTCTAAGTGAATTTAACAAAAAAAAAAAAACAACAAATGTTTAGAGTAATATACAAATAAAGTATATTGTACACAAATGATACATATAAAAATATATATTATTAATAATAATAATATAAAGGTAGAACTAATTCAATTTCCATTTAAATAAAACATTAGGTAAACGTCGAAGATTAATATTATAAATCTTTCATTAAATAATTAAAATATGTAAATGTTGCCCAGGCAACTAAATAATTAAGTTTTAAGAAATGTCCATCTTCTAAAATATGATCTAATTAATTGAAACCTACATTTAATAAAAGTTTTAAAAAAATATGTTAATTCTACCTGTCACTTGACAACAACAAAATATATATTTGAATAAATAGTAAAATATTTCAAATAAAATACCTAAATAATTGTTGATCATTATATAAAATGTTTAAGTACAACCCAAAATAACAAAAAAATAAATTATTTTCACAAAAATGATATCGGTCATTTTTTTAAACATTTTAAACATATTTAAATATTTTGTAATAACTTTTTAGTCAAAGAAATTTGATGTTTTACAATTATTTTGTAAATAAGACTTGCAAAACATTCCAAAAAGTGATGTTAAAATTTTTGAAATGTTAAAAAGAGTTTCTGGTAATATTTTATCATGTCCGCCGACTGGGAAACTATTGTAATAAGTAATTACAAAAAAAAAACATTACTTTAATGACTACTTACTCAGCTTGACGCCAATGCTAAAAGTAATACATTCTCTCTTTTTATCAGAAAGAGGGGGGGAATTTTTCTTTTTATCATTTTTTTAGTGTGGTTTAGGGCTAAAGGTAGATCCATATTATGTAATTTTCTTAAAAATCTGTAGACTACCCTTTTTTTTTTAGTTAACAAATCGTATTCACCCTAATACTAAATGAAATACAATTGTACACACATTTTTTACAAATTTGCATCGAAGCGTTTTCCTTAAATGCCTCGACCACGCTGTGCCGGTTTATTTAATTATTTTTTACAGTGTATAAAGCATGTTTTATTTTTATTTTAGCGGACTAACTTATTTATGGAAAACATTTACATTGTCCCTTGCTAACCCCTGAGGTACAGGTGGTGAACATCATACTAAAATGTGTGAATTAATTGATTATGTTAACACACTAGTTGACAGCCGAATTCACCAACATTTGAAGGATTTAACTTATTGTTAATTAAATTTACCAAAGAGTGAAAATTGGGTTTCATCGAGATTTGTTAGCCTTAATCGTTTGTTAAAACGATTGTTAAATTAATCACCCGAAATTGGCTTGTTAAAATGTATTGTAGTACTTATATAATATTTATATTATTAGAGTTCAAAAGTTGTTTTATAATTTTTGTCGACTGAGTATACTAGTAATATATAATAATGAATTACACATTTGATGAGAAACTTTCTTTATATCGAGTATTTAAAGAACAATAGAAAAGTAACTTTGATAATTCTTTATAAGGTAAGCAGAAGTTATTTTATGTAGGTAGATTAGGTAAAAAGGAATGACACAGCCTTGCATTATTATAACAGACTATCTAAACAATATATTAAACAATTATATATAAATTATTTTTATAAACCGAAACGTTAAAAGAAAGTAAAATAAAATATCAAATAATAACAAACTGACAAATCAAATAATACAATCACTTATCAGTTATCGCATAACTTAATAACTAATGAGAACGTTGTAATCGAGGTAACCGCTTTGGTAACCCAAGTAAAATTTTGGTAACTTGACAAATATAATTTCAAAATAACGATGTTATGGTGAAACTTATTTCTTTTAATTGTTAACTACACGTTGTTAAAACAATTGTTAGGTTTATCAGCCGAAACCAGCTTGTTGAAATGTTAATTGGTTTGTTAAAATGTATTGTAGTACTTAATAACCATCTTAATATCTTAATAACCAATGAGAACGTTGTAATCGAGATAACCGCTTTGGTAACCCAAGTAAAATGTTGGTAACTTGACAAATATAATTTAACAATATTAATTTTAACATGGTGAAACTTATTTTTTTTAACCAGATGTTAAATTTAAATGAATTGTTAACTAACATTGTGTTAAGAGCGTATTTAACAGTAGTTTGTGAAACCGGCTGATTATGTTATAGTGTGACTTAATTAATTTAACCTAATGTTAAATTTAAATTAATTTTTAACTAACATAAGGTTAAGAGTGTGTTTAATAACAGTTTGTGAAACCGACTGTGAGTATATATTAAATATTTAGTGTACCGTTAATGTTTTAGAATAAAACACGATTGTGAAAAAAATGTCTCCTATTCAATTGGCTGTGTACTTACTGAAGTTACCGCGATGCTTACCGGAAGCGCTCGGAAGTTTTCGGCAACAAAAGTTCTCTGCGCGCGATCATCCCTTTGGCCGAACAGCACATCATCAGACAGTAAGTTAACGTCAAGGGATTCGCAAACAGTACCGTTGTCGTTGCGTTGTCGCTATTAAAAAAAAAAAAAACGTTTTATGTGTTAAAAAAATAGTCCTCACACCAGTTGACGGTTATTATTATTATTATTGTAAATTTTCGGACGGCAACGTTTTTACAAGTGAGTATTTAAAAAAAATATTTATATTTATTTTGACAGTTTCCAATTTATTGTTCACCATTTATATAAAAATAAAAAAACTCTTTTCGAACATGTTATCATGATAGTGGCTCTCTTAATGAGGACTGCATCAATGTTTTGTATAGGGAACATTTAAGAAAACAATTGTTTTAATAAATTCATGTTAATTGAGGTATTGTTTTTATTTTGTATAATTTATTCTATGAGTAAAAGTCAAAAGTGGCTTATTTTACACAAAAAAGCTGGAGAAAACGTAGACTACTTAAGTTGGTCAAATTCAACTACGCAAAGTGATCCGAGTTCTTTGGCTACCTACTTTAATTTATTTTGTGTAGGAAGCCGTTTTTCATTTAAAAATGTCTTTCTTTTCAGAAACCATTTTGACTGTTGATATGTCAATTCAATTATAGAAATCTAGAAACTCACTACGGTCAAAGTGTAATTTTCCCCCTTTTTTGGTTTTTCATACCAACAAAAGTTTGACTAAAGAACACTTAATCTATCTTAAGTCTAATAATTTTTTAGATTTGAAGTCTCGAAAATTTGCTGATAAATGAGAAGTAAAGAAAGAGTTTCCACCCCTTTTAGGGGAAGGTTTTTTTTTAAGTATCGACAGTACATTTTGTTTGTTCAATTTCCATACAAATTTCCAATTAATTGGACCATTTAAAAAAAAAAGTTTTACCGCGCCGAGTCGTATCTAGTATATCTATATATAGTTCCCTAGAGGTTTACCTATAGGCTATAGGTATGTAAATTCAGAAATGGTGTAGTTGTCTGAAATAATAAACCAATTATTGACAGTTATTGTAATAGAAATTTTCATATTTATTAAATGTATAGATATTTTTTAATTAGGTATTATTGGTTTAAGTTTTGCTGAAAAAAACCTAAAATTTAGGTTTCTTTAAATAAATTGAGTGATAAACAAATCTTTATTGGTTAATAACATTATCATCTTTGATGAGTGATTTTTGTCCATTTGAAAACATAGTCGGTTAACATAATTTGTGATCGGTACGTTAAATGTTTCTCTCTAGAACTACTTAAGAGGATTAAAAGCAAATAGGCATGACAACATTTTAGTTACTTAGGATATTTTGATTTCATTTATATAAATATATACAGCTTCTTGGCCTACTTTTCTAGGTTATGTTGATAATAACGATTTTGCTTTTTTAATGTAATGCACTGCATTAAAATATTTTTTTTATCAATTTACTTATAAAAAAAACTGAATTTTAAAAAAAAAAAATAAGTTTTCAACAAAACCTAGTAAAGAGGCCGTCAAAGTCTTATATTTTTTTAGTACCAACCGGTGTTTTTTTTTCACAGTGAAAGCATTTTTTTACGACCAAAATGAATTTTACTCGTTGAACTGAAATTGTATAGGTAAGTTAATGATAATGCCCAGAGGTTTATGCAAATTGACTTGAAAATAAATTGACTCGGTGGAAATTTATTTAAAAAAATGCTTTCTCTTAAATTTTGCCTTAATATAATACTCCTCGCCAACCGCCCGCTTTAATCCCCTTAGATCCACTCAAAATAGATGATTAATTCAAAATTAGATTTTGGGTTATAAATGGTTGTTTAGCGAACGGCCTTGTCACTAACAAGCCCATATCCCACCTGTCAAGTGTAGAAATTGTTAATGAATAATATTAGGTAGCATAAATAATAGTTAATAGGGATTATGCAAGCTATCGATCCATTATTATTTGTACAACGGAAACAATACAAAATGTTACACTATTTTTGTTTAAAACTAAAAACCATGACAGTTGGGTAAAATAAAATAGAGAGCTAAATTAGTAAAACCGGAAAAGTGTGAAATGTTATACGATTTGAAAATGCAAATACAATGATTTTATGGTTTGTTGTTGGGTTACGCTTTAAGCGTTATATTGTTTTGCAGAAACGATGATTGATGTTTCAACGTTGTTTCGTGGGGATGAAAAAATTTGAAATCTCAAAAAAGTAATTCAAGTTTTTTATAACTAAAGAATTTCAAAAATTATTTCCTTTTTTTTTTTTTTAAACAGGTTTTTTTTATAATAATATAAATAAACATACATTATATTATGAAATGTACAACAAAATATTTTTATTAGTTTCTATTGTTGTCTTGTTTTGAAAAACTGATATTCCACTCTAAATGTTGATTAGTTTACTACATTTTATATTATGGTAAATGTAAAATAATAACCAATAAATCTCACCGCCAGCAACCAGCTGGACCATCTCTAAATGAATAACAACTCTAATTACTTATCTCTAATATCTTATCTATTGTCTCTAATCTCTAATTTTTAACCTCCCCCCTTCTTACCTCCACCTGGTGCATATCAGCATCTAGCTGGACCATATCTTATCTCTAACCTCTTATCTATAATCTCCAAAGATATATATAATTAACTAGATTGCTAACTAGCGATAAGAATTGAAGCCGACGGTCCGCCATTCTGGTGGGATTTGTGTGTGTGTATAAAAAAAAATATATATATATATCTGTGATTCTGCGTTATCAACCGAACTGATTATATTGTTATAAGCATATTTTCATGTGATAAGGTTCTAATTCCCACCAAGATGGCGGAAAGTGGCTGCTTCAATCTTCTCTAATGGTGGCATGTACAGTTAGCACTTTAGTTTGTTATATATATCTGTGATAATCTATAATCTTTTATCTCTTATCTTTAATCTCTATTTTTATCTCTAACCTATTATTGTGAGCGCTGATGATGATAGCATTGCTATCAAACGCTAGTGTATCATTTTTAGTGGTTTAGGGTTTTTAAAATATTTTATTATTTTATATGTGTATGTTTGATCTACTGTAGATTTTCTTGTCATAAAACCAGCCTGTTATATAGTCCCGGTATGGTTTTAGAGTCTATTAAAAAGGACATTCCCCTATGGTTTTTGATGTTGATTACATTATATGTTTTCTTGTACACATGACCTGACACGTCCCGTGCTTTGGGTACTTTTTCATAATTGTTCATCCCAATTGGTTGGATGAATTGTTGTCAACGCATTAATAGAATATGAAATAAAAAGAAGAGCATATTTGTGATGGCTGTACGTGCAGTGGTAAAAAAAAAACAAAAAGGTCTAAAACGGTTAACCGTTTACTAAGTATTTTTAAAACAATTCTGGCGCCATTAGGATTTGAAATCTTTTCTTTCAAAATGTGTTAGACCCAATAAGAAGTTCAGGTGAACTTTACCTATATTAATATTATATTTTACGACGAAAGTGATTGAATATTTACTATAGTCTATCTATTGTAAAAGGTTTTTCCCCATTTTCGGATGTATAATACAGCTACCACCCTATATTATGGGTAGCAGTAAACACCGTCGTATCCGTGTGAATTACATAATAGATTCTTAGCACGGAATTTTTTTTCACGGGTATAACCATAAAAACATTAATTTTTTTTTTTGCTTTTTGTGCACGTGTTATTTGTTCTTGACAACCTATTACAAATATCTTCACATACTGTATAACTTTACCCGAGGGAAACATATTTATGAGTTATAAGGGGTGGGGGGGGGGTAGAACCGCGCATAAACGTTAAAGTATATTTACTTAAACAAGATGTGTGGGGGTAGGTACGGTTTGTGTTACAATTCCCAACCATAGCAAACATTATGTTGTATTTTGGTTATCATACATATTCATATGAATGTGTTTGGTTGGGTTCTGAATTTGCAGCATTACTAGATTTGTATATTAATATTTATCGATAAATACATATTTCATAAGAATACGAGGTCCAAACGTTTTGGTCGGTATTTGATGGGAAATGTTACCAACATTACAACACTTATGTTTTGTTTTCTATATTTAATATTACAAAATAAATTTCTGAAAATATTGACGGGTCGATAGTCAGTTTGAATAATTATTTTTTAATCTAGTGCGCGCAGATAAAAATAACACTTCCATCGTCGTTCATCTCGTCCTAAGCATAATATTATTCTTTCAAAAATTTAATTAAATATATTATATACGTTCTCATCTGAGTTTCATAAGTTAAAAGCGCCCTGGAAAATAATATAAAAAACGAAGGTAAATATTTGGTACAATATGTTGTATAATAAAATTAATAAAAATGTTTTCATCGGATTTTTAAAGAACATAAATTACATTTTGGTTTTTCTAAAATGATAACTGTTTGTAAATAGACCTAACTAAATTAATACGGTTAACAATATTTAAATTTATTTTCCATGGTATTAGTTAGGGTCAAGAAAAGCTGGGTGTTTTTTTTTTTTAAACAAATAAAATCTCACCTGGATGAACATTCAAAAAAGTCCAAACGAAATTTAACTAAACTATATTACTTACAAGGGTGAACAAGAAAACAAATGGTTATTTTATGTAAGAACAACTCGGATTTACATTATTTTAACATACTACCCGGCTTACCCGTGATGTGATAAGAGGTCAAAGAAAGTGATAAAGTAACTAAAATAATATATCTGGTTTGGTTCTGATTACCGGCCGAATTCCATTAAAAAATCAACGAAATTCTATTTCAGGCCGCAAGCAGCTAATCCGTTTCTAGTTTGAAATCTTTTAGACGTTTCCAATTAATTCGGACAAGTTTCATCCACCGATAGATATCTACAACCTTTCCTTCGAAGGTCACTTTCTGTCTATTTCCGTCTTTTATCGATAAACTCTCATCAGGTGTCCATTAATTATCGATTACTCTTCACCACCATACCATTCATACTTATCACTATTTCAACACCCCTTATGTTTCCTCCCATCTCTCTCATCTATATTATTTACACTTCTTTCGATTGACCTTAAAACCATAAAACTTGTCTGTGTCAAAAAAGTTGTAAAATTTTAAAGCATAAAAATGCTTTTAAGTTTGAGCATTAAATCGAGTATATATATCGAATACACATTTGTGAAAAAAACGAGTAAACAACCAAGTAAATAAATAAATAAAAAAAGTGAAAAATTCAATTAAACGAGGAAACATATCGAACAAACGAGCAAATAAATATAAATCGTGTAAATGGATGAGTAAATGTATTAAGTGAGTAAATAAATCTAGTAATTCATTAATAAATCGAGTAAATATAAATCGAGTAGATCGAGCAAATGGATGTTGTTATAAAACTAATAAGTGAGTAAAAAAATCGAATATATTAGTAAATAAATCGAGTAAACGAGTGAAAAAGTCGAATAAACAAATCGAGTACATAAATCGAGTAAACAATGAAAAATTTGAGCAAACGAGTAAATATGAATCGAGTAAATCATGTTAATGGATGAATAAATCTAGTTAGTGAGTAAATAAATTTAGTAATTCCTTAATAAATCGAGTAAACGAGCAAAAAATCGTGTATGTGACCAAATAAACTGAGCAAACAAATCGAGTAAACGAGTAAAAATATTACATCGAATAAACGAGTAAATATAAACCGAGCAGATCATGCAAATGGACGAATAAATCTAGTAAATTAGTTATTCAATCGAGTAAACGATCAAACAAATCGTGTATATGACTAAATGAATTGCATAAACAAATCGAGTAAACGAGTAAAAATATCACATCGAATAAACGAGTTAATATAAATCGAGTACAACATGGATATGAATGAACAAATCTAGTTGGTGAGTAAATAAATCTAGTAGTTCGATAATAAATCTAGTAAAGGAGCAATTATTATATGGAATTAACGAGTGAATGTTGATCGAGCAGATCATGAAAACGGATGTATAAATCTAATAAGTGAGTAAATACATCTAGTAAACAAATTGAGTAAACGAGTAAAAAGTCGAGTAAACGAGTAAATAAATCCATTAAAAGATTAAATACAAACCGATCGAACGGGTAAACGGATGTACAGAAAAAATTATCTAGCTAAAAATCTCAGGGTTGTCTTAGTTCATCCTCAGGTTAAAAACATTGCCATTTAGTGAAAACGTTTGTACGGTGTACCCACAACCGTTAGCCAACAAAGCCCAAAACCCTTGCGAATGCCAACATTGCGGCTAATTACGCCCGCTAATGCGGTTTTATCGACAGTATCGATTGTGTTTTTCAGATGCGATTTGAGAACTACCATTGTGCATAACATGAATTTATCGCTCGTGACAAACGCCAGTGCCAACACCACGTTGCAGTTGGACGACTACGATTATAGCTACGAGAACAGGCCTGAGACTTATATCGTGCCCGTTCTGTTTGCCCTTATTTTCGTCATCGGCACCATCGGAAACGGCACGCTGGTTATGATTTTTGTACGGCACAAACACATGAGAAATGTGCCCAACATGTACATCCTGAGCTTAGCCCTTGGCGACCTGCTGGTGATTGCCACCAGCGTTCCGTTCACTTCCACTGTTTATACGGTAAGTGTTTATTTGTTTTCAATTTGACCGAAAACATTTGTTTTCTTTCGGTTTTCCCAAAAAATCTTTAACTTAGAGTAAAAAAAAATCAAAACTTCAACAGGTGCCACAAAACTGTTTTGTCCATTCGAGATATATTTTTTTTTCTTTTCACTATAATATGTTTGTAATGGGCTCGTTGGAAAGATGACAAAAAATACTTGATTTATTATTGGCTAAATTGTTAATTAACAATTCTACCTTTCGGTCACGAATCAAATTTAAAGAATTTTTTTTCTAATACTTACAATAATGCAACATGCAATACTACATTTATATTTTCATCGAATAATACACATGTTTTTCTATTAAGTTTAACCGTTATCACAGAAATAATATTTAAAAATAACAAGTTTTGCCTAACCTAACTGAAAGGGCTAAATATTTTTAAAAAATATATTTCCACACATGCTTTTTTGAAATGTTTCCATCACCTTTCCAACGAGTTCACTTCGAATATTGTAGCTTCAAAATCAAAAATATAATATAAAAAAATTAAAAAAGTGTCAACTTTACACGTTTTAATCAAATGGATAAGATAAAAATAGCTTCGAGTCACATCTAATTATTATCAGATCAGATTTTTTGGCTATCCAGACGGGAGGAGGAGAAATTTGAATTTGAATAACATTAAAAGTAATTATTTAAAACTAAATGTTGACCAATCAACATTTTCAGTGGAATTTTCTGAATTTAAAAAATATGTATGTGAAATAAATATTACATACTTTACCGTTTAAATGTCATAAGTTGATACAGGAAAACACCACCAAAGATAAATAATTGGAAATTTTATGAGGTTGTAAACTAGACTGAACTAAATAATTATTGATGTCTAAAAAAAAAATGTTGTTTTAACAATAGTTAAGATAACGCACGTTTACGCTTTACACATGAAATATCAGACAGCAATACCATTAGTGTACTTTTATTAGTTTTGCAATTACGAGTCTTTGCCGGTTAAGTAATTATTATTACTATTTTTCAATTAAACCATTATAGAGATGGCTACCAACGTTTTTCGTTATAATATATTAGTTAATTTTTTTTTTTTTTTTGGTCAGCTATTAACTGCTCAATTTTACCTGCACTAGTCATAGTGTCCATTTTAGTGACACTTAAAAAACAATATTAAACCACGGTCATCTCCAAAATTCTGAGACTTCCGCGAACAAAACAAGACGGTTTTGGTCGTACTTTTACTATAATTTAGTATTATTTTTTTTTTTTTTTAACCTGTTGAAAATAACCGTGATGTTCTTAAACTTTGACCTCTGAGCAAGTTCATCAACAAACCAAAGCGACTAGACTCGAGTGATACAAAAAGTTTTTCAAATAAAAACGCTAGTATACATTTATTCTTTTTAGAAAATATATACATTATTCATATGAGCGGTGACATTATTTTTTTCAAATCCTCTGAATAATTTATGAATACATATTATTATAGCCTATTCAAACCTGTGTGTACTTTGAGCGACGTCCGGGAACCTCTCTAGGTCTATTTTCATTACCTTTAATTTCTTTTTCTTTTTTGCCTTGTGTTTAATTTTCAATTTTAACATAAATTTTAGATTTATTAAACCCATTGTAAATTCAAAGTGGTTTTGGTGTGGCTAAAATATAATCAGCCGGTTGCACCAACTATTGTTAAATACGCTCTTAACACAATGTTAGTTAACAATTCATTTAAATTTAACAACTGGTTAAAAGAAATAAGTTTCACCATATTAACATTATTATTGTTAAATTATATTTGTCAAGTTACCAAAATGTTATTTGGGTTACCAAAGCGGTTACCTCGATTCAAGCGTACTCATTGGTTAATAAGATATGTGATAACTGATAAGTAATTGTATTATTTGATTTGTCAGTTTGTTATTATTTGGCATTTTATTTTACTTTCATTCAACGTTTCGGTTTTTATAAATAATTTATATATAATTGCTTAGATAGTCTATACCTTACTAAAAGAAGTTTGTCATCAAGGTTATTAAAATATTTTTTCTTTTTTGAAGGCCTGAAATAAAAGTAGGTAATGATAAGAATTATTTCCATTGTTATACTCAAGACAGGCAAGACATAATAATATTATCTAAATTACAAAATACAATAAATTATGGTACTTGAACATATAATGTAAGTCAGTGTCATTCCTTTTTACCTAATCGACCTACATAAAATAACTTCTGATTACCTAATAAAGGGTTATCGAAGTTACTTTTCTATTGTTCTTTAAATACTTAATATAAAGAAAGTTCCTCATCTAATGTGTAATTCATTATTATATATTACTAGTATACTCAGTCGACAAAAATTATAAAACAATTTTTGATCTTTAATAACATAAATATTATATATAGGAACTACAATACATTTTAACATGCCGATTAACTTTTTAACAAGCCGATTTCGGGTGATTAATTTAACAATGTGTTAAGGCTAACAAATCTCGAAGAAATCCAATTTTCCCTAACTAATTGTTAAATATAATTAACAATAAGTTAAATTGTTAACAAATGTTGGTGAAATCGGCTGAATATGTCAAACGACAAAACTAATTAGGACTAGAAATTAAAGTTAATTATACAGACAAACAATGTTCGAAAACTACTACCAAAAATATGAAATAAAGAAAACGGGGTAAATACTTATGATATATTTTGATTTTGTTTCTGACTATATATCCTTAAAATTTAGTCTTATAGCAACTCTAAATATCTAAGCACATTATCATGATTTCGATATAAAGCTTACCACTAGATTATTATTTAAGTAAAAAAAATTGTATTTTCCCATTGTACCACTTTTTGTTGTAAGACACACAGTGTTTTTTGTTACTACATTTTAAGTTTTATTTAAAAAATTACAAACCCGTTTAGAGATGGAAAAGGTATAACAACAGAAATGATTATGCTTAACTTAAAGATAATCGCTTAACCGTACCGAAGCTTTAATATCGTTTAACTAAATGTTTTTTGGCTGTGCATATCTAAGAGGTTTAAAAGTTGTGTAACTTTTTAGTACTTTAATTTCTTACGATATAATAATTATAACATTTCCTCATTTTACAAACTAATTACAAACAGATTATTGTTGGCATTCCGTTAGATCTAATAGAGCGTATAAAAAACAACAATCAAATATCTATTAAGTAAAAGTTTTTAATTCCAGCCTAGTAAACCACAAAAAAATCCATCAATCTCCGAACTCTCTTTTAATTAAATTCCTGGTAATCCCCGAAACTGTCTAACCTAACCTATCCTTTTTATTAAGAAGTTAGTTTAGTCTAATTTTTGCAAAATCTTAACTTAAAGATTTAACTGTGATGTGTAATTATCAGCTCAGTAATTAGACTCTTTTTTTTTGGTAATTTATTTATTTTTCGGACTAGCACAGCAACCTTGGCAGTGATTTGGCAAAGGTTTTTCATCTAAATACAACTAGGCATTTTGTCTATTATTGACTGAATAATAATCGTAGAAAAAATTTGATTACATATTTAAAATAATAGGAACTTTATGTAGAGGAGGATAATGGAGGTGAATTAATATAGATAGTGGATTAGAGCTACTAGATTGCAGGGCATATCCATGTATTGATGTATTTGCACAAAGTGTGCACTCTTAACTTTTATTTTATTAATCCAACATTCACCATTTATATTTTGATTGTAGTATTTTTTTACTTTTTTAGGACTACTTGTATTTAAGGAGAACTTAAAGCTCTTTCTAATAAAATAGAAACTAAAAGAACCTAGTTGCAGTTATCTGCCGGTTTCACCAACATTTGTTAAGAATTTAACCTATTGTTAATTATATTTAACAATTCGTTAGTGAAAATTGGATTTCGTCGAGATTTGTTAGCCTTAACACATTGTTTAAACGATTGTAAAATTAATCACCCGAAATCGGCTTGTTTAAAAGTTAATCGACATGTTAAAATGTATTGTAGTACTTATATATAAAATATTTGTATCATTAGAGTTCAGAAATTGTTTTAAATAAAAGGAATGGCACAGGATTACATTATAGGTTCAAATATCATAATTTATTGTATTTTATAATTTAGATAATATTAACATGTCTTGCCTGTCTTGAGTATAACAATGGAAATAATTCTTATCACTACCTACTTTTATTTTAGGCCTTCAAAATAGAAACAAATATTTTAATAACCTTGATGACAAACTTCTTTTAGAAAGGTATAGACTATCTAAACAATTATATATATAAATTATTTTTATAACCCGAAACGTTAAAAGAAAGTAAAATAAAATGCCAAATAATAAAAAACTGACAAATTAAATAATACAATCACTTATCAGTTATTACATATCTTAATAACCAATGAGAACGTTGGAATCGAGGTAACCGCTTTGGTAACTCAAGTAAAATTTTGGTAACTTGACAAATATAATTTAGCAATAATAATGACGTTAATATGGTGAAACTTATTTCATTTAACCAGATGTTAAATTCAAATGAATTGTTAACCAACATTGTGTTAAGAGCGTAGTTAACAACAGTTGGTGAAACCGCCTGATTATCTTATTAACGGTAGGTACTCATTGTTTGTTTCAGGTGCCGTCTTGGCCGTACGGTCTGGTCGTCTGCAAGCTTTCCGAGGTGGCCAAGGACGTGTCCACCGGTGTGTCGGTGTTCACACTGACCGCGCTGAGTGCCGACCGTTACTTCGCCATCGTCAATCCGATGCGCAAACTACACGCTTCGATGGGCGGTCGATTTGCCACCAGGTTCACCGTGACCGTGGCCGTGGCCATCTGGGCGCTGGCAATAGCGTGCGCCACGCCGGATGCCGTGTTCTCGTACATCCGACAATTCCGGGTGCACAACGTCACCCTGTTCGAGGCCTGTTACCCGTACCCGGAAGAACTGGGCCCCGTGTACCCTAGGGTAATGGTGCTGGTCAAGTTCCTGGTCTATTACGCCGTGCCGCTCACCGTGATCGCATGTTTCTACATCATGATCGCCCGTCACCTGGTGAAGACCACAAAGAACATGCCCGGCGAACTTCAGGTAAGTACGAGGTCCTTCTTAACTTGCTTTGGGCCGAGATCCAGTTCAGCCTAAGTTTATTTGTCAGGAGGAACTTGAATGACAAATCTTCAAAAGCAAAATACATTGGCTTATGAAAATATCTTATGATCAGGTGATTTTCCGTCTCTTGTCAGTTATCCAAATATTATCGATTCGCCCTTATCACCATCTCATTCCCACCACATCGACAAGCCTACAAGTCCCGTCATCTTTCCTTCCCCTTCACTTCCATTCCATCAAAAGAAGTTGAGAGCATCCACACTTAATGCAGAAACATCAATACATGGATATGTCCAGCAATCTAGTAACTTTGATGTCTAATCTCTAATCAACTATCTCTATTAATTCACCTCTTTACTCCTCCATAATCTTCCATATTCCCTTCAAGATCCTCCTCCATAATTCCTTAATACTCCTTCATGCTCTTCCATTATTCCTAACATTAATTCACCTACGTACTCCTCCTCCATAATTCCTCTATAATCCTCCTCCATAATCGTAATGACGTCAGCACTGTGACACTTAACATGTCGTTCAAAACGTGACGGACAAGATTTCCTATAATACACATTCATGTCAAAAACTGAAGCTAGAGTTGAAGGTGGAGGTGGAGGTGGAGATTAAGATAGAGTTGGAGATGGAGCTTGAGATAACAACTTGCGTACAAATGTGCTTAGACTTTGTTGTAAATGCATAAATCAAGAAAATAAATAAATAAGTGAATAATATTAAACGAACCGAGTAAATCAATTGAGTAAATGAGTACAATGCTAGGAACGTACTGGTCAATAACATTAACCATTAGCATTAATAATATCAATAACATTTAAGTTAAAATACTGAGCTAGGTTTTTGAAATTCGGTTTAATATATATTACAGCAAACCTTTCTTATTAGGTAAAAATCATACATTTTATTCACTTAAGTTACTTATTTTTAGTGCATGGCGCCGATTATATACTTTTATCCGAAATATCGTTTTGAAAACTAATAGTGGTCAATAAAAAAAAATAACAAGTATAAAAAAAGAAACAATCAGAAAACTTTGGTTTGTGGAAAACTCATTATTACTTGTTATACTGTCGCCTTATCTGAATCGGCTATGTCACCACCCATTTTTTTAACGATTGTTGACTTGTAAAAACAATTCTATATTTTATTGTTTTTTAGATAATATTATATTGAGTACACGCGTTATATATTTTTTAACCAACTTGTACTTTTAAAATCGTTATCCATTTAGATAACGATTTTGCGCAAGTTGAATTACAAAAACACAATTTGAATACAAACACAGTTTACGAGCAGGACTTCTACTTAAATGTAGTTGTTGGGAATTTTTATTTTAAAATTTTATTTGAAAAAAAAATCATACCCTTTGCAGATAAACCCGAGTTTTGGAAATTAATTTTATTCATAAAGTATACTCATAATTATTATTTTGATAAAAATTCAACCAACAAAAATGTTGGGCAACGGAGATTGTCATTTGTTGATGTCAAGATAACGTTCTTCTACCTTAAGGGACTCATTTACATACTAATTTTTTTTTGGCTGGAAACAATTGAAAATATACATTACGAGCACTACGTCTCCGTCACTTTTGCAATTCGCTTAATGCAAACTTTTGTGTTTGTCATTTTCCTGATGGCGCGCATTTCATTCGTCATAACTAATACTAATATTATACTATAGTCGTAAAATATAGTCTGTAAAAAAAAAATAAACAATACATATCTTTTTTTAAAAAACTGTTGCCGTTCAAAATATACAAAACAGTATATTTCCTAATGGAGTTTAATTGTAAGTGGTGGAAAATGATAGACAATTGAAATTGTTGTGTATGAATGATAAATTAACATTAGGCAATTATTTGAAACATAATTATTATATCAGTATAATGTTATTCCTATATGCAAGGTGTGGAGATAAGGGGAAACCGGTAATTGCTGGATAACTGATAAGAGGTGCATGATAAGAGAACCAAGTGATAATATTTTTAAGGTTATACGGGGTCCTTTATTTTCACATACATTTACATAATAATAAATAATTATAATTGATTAAAGTATAAAAATATTAAGCAATTAACCAATAAATAATAACACAGTTATTGTATTAATCACGGTTGAAATATACAAGGTTATTGTACAAAAAGCAATATGTCCGCGTAAAGGGAGCCAATCAAAATCAAGTATATAAGTACTCAATAAAGTATGTACAGTAAAATTGATATCCCTTTACGCTGCCATTTTATTTCTGAAGATAACAATTCGAGACTATGTCCTATCAATTATTTTGTTATCTATGGAGATAAGAGGTAACTGGGTGATAAGAGATGATGAGATAAGATAATGTTATAATGATAATGTGACACGAGTGATCCAGTGCATATTTTACTTGAGAGGAAAGTCTGAGGTTACTTTGTGGTTTGTATTGATCTAACATATTGTGCTTGACTATTGTTTTAGGGCCAAATGCGTCAAGTGCGCGCCCGGAAAAAAGTGGCCAAAACCGTGTTGGCGTTTGCCTGGATGTTCGCCATTTGCTTTTTGCCCCATCACGTTTTCATGCTTTGGTTTTACAACAACCCCGGGTCGGCCGAGGAGTACAACACCTTCTGGCACGTGCTGCGCATTGTGGGCTTCTGCATGGGCTTCTTCAACTCCTGTATCAATCCCATCGCGCTGTACATAGTAAGTCACACGTTTCGCAAACATTTCGACAAATTACTGTTTTGGTGGTGGTGCCCGATGCCCTCGAAGAGCACGGCGATGGAGTCCAACGTTTTCGCCAGCAAAAAAAACGGAGCCCAAGGCCGAGAATTGAAAGCCACCGAGTCGTCCACCATAGCAGCGGTGCACATGATAACGCTGAAGAAAACCGATGCTGTGATTTACACGGTCAACGACAACGGTGGCAATCCAGCAACCACAACCATATGACTGTGAAAACTTTGTGATTAGATCCAACGCATTGGCCATGTACATTTTGTGTTTTTCCAAAATTCATATTTATATACAGAAGGATTTATTAATGGCAGGAGACCTAACCTAACCTAACCTAACCTAACCTTTTTTTTTTTTTTTATCTGCATCCATAGAAAACTGGGGAGGTACTCGCCTGTTGAGGCATTACTTCCCCCCAGTTTTCCGATGCCATTTATTATTAAATAAATTTTACAACTTTGTTGTGGGTGCTCCACACACCCACAACCTAACCTAACCTAACCTAACCTAACCTAACCTAACCAAACCTAACCTAACCTCACCTAACCCTTCATTTTTCTCTTTAAATATTTGCTGTGTAATGTCTCAAAAATGTACATCGAGCCGTCATTGGCATAGTCATAATCTGAAATATAGACCATTTTAAGTTTTAAAAAGTGATAAGGGTCTGGAAAAAAAAAAAAAGATAAAATTTTGATTATCGCTTCTAATATTATAAAATGATCACGTAAACTTAAGTGTCTAGAAAATTGAAATTATTTATAAGAAAAAATGAGTGTCTCTTCCTTAATAAATTAACCTGTTTGTATAAAAATCATTTACAATGTGCCCTAGGAGTCAGGAAGGTTTTACACGTTTAAATATCTACTAGGGGATTTGAAATTTAGAATTTTCCTGTAGATTTTATTGAATTGCAGAAAAAAAATACAATTGGAACTATAATTAGTTACAAACGAAATTAAGAATTTTATAAATTAATCGTTTACAAGATTTCATTCAGTCTAATGTTGTGTCGTTTATCGTTGAAATAATATATTTAAAAAAACATCCCCATCCCTTAAATACAGCTTGCGTACGAGTCAACCTAACCACGGGAGACCTTTTATCTCTAATCTCTTATCTCTCTTATCTTATCAGATAAATGTAAAAAACTGTCGATTTTTCCGGTTGTGTGCCAAAGTAAAGACATATTGAAATGTCAAATACAAGTTACAATAGAAAATATTATTTATATGAAACAACTTATTTTCTCCGCCAACTCGTTTAAACGCTGATAACCCCAGAAGTTATTTGTTCAAACATTGTTATGCAATAATCAAACAGAGTTAAAAAATTCCAATTGTTTTTGGAGATATTCAAACGTGTTAAACATTGTGAAAAACTCTGTGTATAATGTAGTATATGTACAAAAAAACAATACAAAAATATGATGATAGAGTAGGACGATCTCAAACACTTTACCAGAAGGTTTTTATATTAGTAATTTTCAAATTGATCTTGGACCTTAAGTATTTGCATACATTTTTGACTTTCTTCGATGTGAGTTGCATACTTTTATTGAAATTAAATGTACATTTTACAATGTTTTTATTATTGGACGAGGATAGTTTAATATGTTCTCAATAACGTCGTTGTACAAATAAAACTGTGTATATATGTATATATACTTTTTTAATATACCTTTATGTTTTACAATAAAACTCCAGCACACTGTTGACCGTTTGGCAAATCACGATGATTTGAATATTTGCCAGTTTAACAATAACTGTTCGAGCTCATTAAATTAATGACTGGAACGTTTCCGACACAGATGACTGGACAGCGTTTGCAAAACATTGTATTGTAATAGTCTGGCAGATATGTACATCACATTTAATCGCAGCAGAGACCTTTAAGACTTGAACGAATACCGAAAAATACCTTTAAAATATTCAATGATTTAGCTGTTTGTAAAAGTCTAAAAGAATGGAAATGTATAACCGGATTTGGTTAAGGGTTGGCATGAAGCGGAAATGACTTGTACACAAATTTGCCACCACAAAATGTAAGATTGCATTATTTTTAAAAGTTACACCGTAAGGAACGTACAAAACTCTTAAATCGATTATTTGATTTATTTACTATATACCAAACCGACGGAATTTTATTATATTTATAATTTTGTCCCTGTATTACTATGTGTATAATATTATGTAAGAAATTGCAATAATTTTTCAATATATCAATAATCGCATTATATTTACCTAAGTCAACCGATGTGTGTTTTGAATAATGATTGGAAAATTTACTTTTGTCTAATAAACTTTTCACACGGAACACGGTTATGCTGTTATTTAATTGACTTGACGACAAATTGTAGCTTTTGGTGAACCGCAGGGCTTCTTATGGATTCAATTAGGTGATTGAATTATTTTATGGACGAAAAGAAAGTGTACACAGGTAAGTACACACATAGCTGAGAGTTGCTGTTAAATTTCATACATATATTTTAGATTGTTCAATTGTTGTAAAAAAAAATGTCACTGTGCAAAATTTGATAAACATAATATTTCATATTATAATAATTAGTAATTAACAAAACCATAGTCTTATGTTAATAATCGTCGGAAGCCATCTTCCGCTTTATGGTGTCGTTGCACATAATAATCTGATTTAATAAAACATTTTATGCGCATCGACGAACAAAGGCAAGTATTATAAAAAAAAAACTGTCTTTATTAACTGCCGGTTTAGGGTTGTCAAAAAAAAAAAAAGGAGGAAAAAAGTTTTTTTTTAATTAATCCCAAAAAAGGTTTATGTTGTAATATTTTATACGGTATTAAAATTTATAGACGTGTTAACTTCATTGTTTCTTTGTTTAGGACGGTTTTTTAAACAAAACGGTTCAGTTTAAACATATTATAACAATTCTGGCTAATTTTTTTTTATTATTATTAGAATAACGATTTTTTTATCTTGTAAATTAGTCTGTACTCGTTCCTCTATCGCCCTCTGTCAACGATCCCTTGTTTCCTGTGCTGGTTTATCCAGTGTAAACGTTATTTTCTGCCCCCCTATCTGAATTATTAAGTGGTTTTTTAGCTGAACTGCTACTATTAATAGTAAAAAAACTCCATTGCAGCTTGCGGTCCAAAGGCAATATGCAATGACAAGTTGGCGCGCGCCATGATCGACCTAACCGACTCGTCGTGGCAGCTGCTCTCCGGAATAATGCTCATCGAGGGGGGCGATGATGCAATGTGTTCAATTTCTGTATACATGTAAAATATATATTTATATACACACACAAACGTTGTGCTGTTCAGAGTAGCAATGCACTGTTTATGAGTGTTAAACGTAAATTTTTAACCGAAAACTATGCGCTTGAACCAGGTTGAAACGTTTACAGAATCGATACTAAAATTGGGGAAAAATATATTACTAATATTGTCAATCGAGAAACCGAAATCTTAGAAAAAATTGTGAGATTTTGCACTAAAAATAGAAGAAGTTTGATAATGTTTTTATACCTAACCTAACCAAACCTAACCAAACCTAACCTAACCAAACCTAACCTAATCTAACCTAAACTAACCAGTAAACAAATGAGTAAATCAATTGAGTAAACAAATATAATAAGCAAATCAAGTTAATGAGTAAATATATTGAGTAAACGAGAAAACAAATAGGGTAAACGAGTAAACAAATCGACGCAATTTTAACGGAGTTGGGCAAATTAACAATCAAATAAAATGTTAATTAAAAGAAATTATTAATCAATCATGACAAATATAAGCTATTGGTGTTGGCTAATAATTATGTTCTCGACTAAAACTCATTTAACTAGTAATTGTGATGTTAAATATCATTACTACATTACTAGTTTTAATTAAAATGGAATTAGTAATTTGTTACACTAGTTTGAAATAATTTCAAAGGATTTAAATTTAAATTAAATCCACTAAAAATTAAAAAATAAGATGTATTTTCTTAGAAAATTTATTGAAATTAGCTGTTATGTAATTTCGTAGTTTTTCTTTTATAAAAAAATTTCCGTTTACGACGTTATTTTACAATATTATAAAATTACCATAATATTTAAGTATTTGCCAGAGCTCTGTCGACTTTTTTGAAACTTAAACCGTAACGTATATTTCAATTAACCGTTTAAAATTAAGGAAAATTTGCTGAAAATGTTGACTCGTCAATAACCAGTTTGCATAATTAATTTTATCCTAAACATAGTTCCATTCGAAACTGCTGTCAACTGATTTTTCATAAATTTCTGAACTAGTCACTTTGTGATTAATGAATCGGTGCGATTTAAATTCTGTGCAATTATTTCCAATGAAAACGAGTGTGGTGCGTTTACGGGATCACTCTGTATACGACCTGAGACCGTGAAAATAATGTATTATTATACGATAAAAAAAAACAGAATACCCTTATGCCTTAGCCGCTTGCCGCCGAGTTATAACCCCCCGGCACGCATGCAGGCATACACGTTTGGAGGGAGTGAGCCAGAGCGAGAGTTCCGGTGCCGGAGCGTTATTGTTGTTCGGAAGCAAACACCATGTGCTCGAACAACGGTCGGCAAGCTGCCGCGGTGGGGCCAGGTGTTCGGTGTTCCAACCGTCGACGACCGGTCCACAGTGTACGCGCAGTCGCCATGCCGTGGACATCGTCTCCGCTGTGGTCGTCTTCGCCGTCGTGCCGGTGGCGATGCTGGTGGTTGTGCTGGTGGTGCTGTGCGGTTGCCGTGGTCGTTGGTAATAATTCAAAAGTCGTCGCCGCGGCCGCCGTGCCCTATGCGTCCGTCAACCACACCGTGGCCACCCTGTTGGCCGGCAAGTACGGGCAGCCGGTGTTGGCCGCCGACGACCTGTACGTGGCCGCCCAACCTTACGACGACTGCATAGTGTTTCGCGTGACGGCCAAAACCCGCGGCTTCGTGGCCCTGGGATTCGCCCAGCCCGGCACCGCCGTGGACGTGGTGCTGGTGTGGACCGACGACGAGACCAATGAGCCTCATATACTGGTGAGTACAGGCCACTTTTTCTTAACCTAACCAAACCTAACCTAACCAAACCCAACCTAACCTAACCTAACCTAACCAAACCAAACCTAACCTATTCCTCCAGCCTAAATATTTTACCGGTTTTGCTACGTTCAATTTTGGCCACCTCCCCTCATTTGTAGATAAGCAATATTACACCTTATTATTACACAACCCCCATTATGGTTTTTTTTTTAAATTTAAATAATCGAAACCATTCAATGTATTCAAACAATATAATAAGCTACAATTTTCGTTTACAATAAACTTACCCGCCTGGACCTCTACCTGGTATTAAAAAGACTCTATTATGAACCACTGAACGTTGCGCAATGACAGGTCCTATACAATAGGGGCGCCATGTATAATGTGACTTTCGTGTCTTCCCACTGAATCATATCGTCGAAATAAATGCGTTTGAATATTATTATAATTTAAATAATTAACCGAAGAAAGTTATGCCGGGAAACAAAGTACAGACGGTTGGTATTTGACAGGTACAGCTGTTGTATATTAAGTTTTGACAAATAACACTCTGTGGTAGTGTGTAAGTACCATGTTGTTTGGCACACGAAGGAATGCGTGCAGGATGACTACTACGTGAATGCAATAATAATTGCGAATAATATAATTATTATATTGTCCTCGTGGAATCCAACGTGTTCGAAAATTAATTTACAAACATGAGCACAACTCATTTAAGGCAAATAATCTGAAAATATAAATGACACTATCGCTGCCATGTAGTGATAAAAAAAACACACACACACACACACACACAAGCGGTGAGCTACTGGAATTCAAAAAATGTCTTAAGAAATATTTGCTGAACGTTTTATTTATTTTATTTTTTTACCTGCTCCTTTGACTGAATGAAAAGGGCTGAAAAGAATGAATGGGGCCCAGGTAGTAGGGCGTGTAGTCATATATTACCATGCTGTGTTGTGCTGTACACTCTGTTTGTGCTTGGTAAATGCCAAATACACAAAATTGTATTATATTTACCGTCGCCGACGAAATTATGTACTCAAAAAGGACAGCCATAATGTCTTCCGGTGATAATTATAAATTATAAGACATTGATTGAATATGGTTTCGTTTAATTAGTCCACTCGGTCGGTCTCATATTATTTTTAACGAGATTTAAACTTAATCAGTTTAATTTGTCAAACACAATCGAGCTTTTACGTTTTAAACTTTAGCTGGAAATCCAACCCTTTTTTTTTGTTTTGCTTATAAATCAAGCTAATTAAGTATAAATATGAAATGGTATCTTTGAATTGTGCGTCCGACGGTTTTAGGATTATTATAACATGAACATTTACAAAACTTTGAAAGCAATGTATTAATTATGCTCTTGGAAGTTTGGTAATAAAACGTTCATAATGTTCATCGCTTTCAAACAAACTTGGTGCTCTTTGGGTTTTTTGGCCAACCACCATATTGTGTATAAGTGCTTTAACCGAAAAATGGCTTGCCCAAAATCCAAAAACAACTTTGAAAAGAATTTTTCTTCTTCTTGCTTAATTGTATATTAAACTTTTAGCTTCGATGCGCAGCTGAGCTATTAATGTTTTTGAAATTATGTGTTTTTGAAATTATTAGTTTTTTTTTTTATGTATAACATCATAAATACATTATTTGCTGGATTCAACTTGTCTGTTTAATATGCTGGTCCCACGATTGTGAGCACTGTTTATTCCTGGACACGCAACGGTGAACATATGCTAGTTGATACCTATACTTAGTTTTATATAATCGTGCACAGGTAGCGTTGACTAATTGACTAGCTGTGGTCAATGAGTTTTGCCTTACTTGAATTATTATTATTTTTGTTAGCTATTAAATACAATTATATATCATTCAGATTAGAACGTTAGTCCTAAACTAAGAATGAATTTGTCTCCAATAAATTAAAGGTTAAATTTTTAAATACTAGAAAAAGTACCTAGATGTATTACATGCACAATTTTGGTTCTTTATTTTTGTGCATATTTTGAAATAAAATATAACGGTCTTCACGTTTTCTATTATTTCTATAAAACGCTTTGGGTTGGAATTTAAAAATATTATCAAAATATCAGCATGACAAGTACACGTTAGACGTACATTGATTGATTGATCTAATACTTGGATGAACAGTAATTCGAATGATTTTTTCAAACATATCAAGTACTTTGTATTTAAATTAGTTAGTGACGTATAATTCAGTTATTTATCATGAAGTATAGGATAAAAACAAAATATACGGTGTTATATTATTTCATGTCAAGGAAAAGGTAATGTTTTTTCGTAGTATCGACTTAACGTTAGACACTAAATTTTTGAAAAAAAACTTAATTTACTTATGTTACTTTTGTCGAAGTCCAGGTCGAATGTGGATCAAGACAAAATAACAAGTAAAGTGCACAACTTGTACAGTAATAATGATAACGGTAATATTTCACCGAGTAAATTAAAGTCAGGTTTAAATCGTTACTGTAAATCTAAATTTCTTTAAGTATGCTTTGTTTTTTTTTTCCGTCCAAATTTAATTTAATTTCCCAAATTTTCCATCCTTAACTATATTTTGCTGGCCATAGTCCTATTAAAAACTGCTCTTGACTAGTTTTGATATGGATATGTCTTATGGCTGGGGGTCATTCTGAACATTTGGCCGTCACGTTTTGTGTCACAGTGCTGGCGTCATTATGGATTATAGAGGAGTATTAAGGAATTATGGAGGAGAATGGAGGTGAATTAATAGACATAGTGGGTTAAAGAAAATAGATTAGAGATACTAGATTGCAGGACATACCCATGTATCGATGTATATCTGCATGAAGTGTGGATGCTCTTAACTTTTAACTTGTTTTAGTTAAAGTCTTTATCGTTATTGTTATCATAATTACCATCACTATTATTATTATCATACTCGTCGTTTTCAATTAATAATTGTGAACTGATTCCCTTGCAAAGTTTGTGATGTCGAAGCGCCACGTCCAGGGCGAACGCAGCCAACGGTAGGCTGTTTGTTATCCGTTTTTAAACGAGCCCGTTTGATGGGTTGAAAAAAAATATATACCGTATCCATTAGGCCGGAGGATATTAAACTTTATTACATAAAAAAAAACCACAACTCGTTTTTCTTTCACGGTGCGTTTTCTCAATGAACTGTCTTGAAAAAGGCACGCGCCACTCTCGTGGAACGACTCATCGCAGCCAGGTGCTGCTAGATGGTCACGTCCGGTAATTTCTATACGATGTGATATTATGTTTTTATTTCGGTAAGAAAACCATTTACTCGGAACCGTTAACGTAGGATGAACCCATTTCGGTATCGCTCAGCTAACCACCGGCATCGTGAAAAGTTAATAACGACATTCGACTCGAGTACATAATGTTATATGGCCGAAGCCCGCTAATGGTACACTAGCTGTTGTGGGTTGAAGGAATTGTAAGACGACCGATTATTTGAACGAGTACTGTTTAACGCAAGTCTATTTTTTAATCGCCCGACAAGATACATTTTCCATTCGCCAAGTTGTAGGAAAGTTTTTGAAATATTTAACTTTAGGCCAAAGGTTGAATTTTTTAAAGGTATTTCCAACTGCACGAAAATATTTGCTTATAAATTGTATTACGAATAAATCATTTAATGAAAATCTAGCGTTCGCACTGTGTTACGCTCAATTATTTGCTATTCGCCATTTAAAAACGTTCAATTAAATATCATAATATTATTCAATGGGCAATTTATGAGATTTCGGTTGTATCTAAAGAATCTCTTGCTCTATTCTTTAATGAGTGTAAACTAATCGAGTAGATGAGTAAATATCTCTAAAAAAAAAATTAAGAGTATCCACACTTCTTAAACGTGACGGACAAATGTTCAGAATGACCCTAAGCCATAAGACAAAATGTCTTAAGAATTTTTTTGGTCGACTTAAAGACACTATACCGCGTTAAAAAATAGTATTATAACGTCCTACAAGTTTCCAGCCAATTGCAGAAGGAGACTATATTATATTTTAATAAAATGCACAACATTTGTTCACTTTTGGTCGAGTGACACGACACGTGTGAGGGCGATGGCGACAAACATCATATACATAATATAATGTTCTTACAACAATAATATTCTCATCACAACGGATGACTTTCATAAAACACAAATTCTTTGCAACGACTGAGGAGGATAATAATGGGGGGGAGGGGGGGGGAAATTAAATTAAATAAAGGTAACGACAAACGACGACTAATGCAATTTACTCGAGACTGTAATAATATAGAGGGCATTTAAATATTGTATCACCGGTTTATTGAGGAATGTACACTGGAATTCCGTAAATGTATTACCTACTCAATTATTATATTATGTAGGTATTAATACCTAACCCACGGACAAAGTTCAACACAACTAACAGTGTTATACGCAGTTGGATAATTCGCACGATATACAATCAAGCAGAAAAAAAAAATATGTAGGTTTAGTTTGCTTACTTGAAAATAAAAATATTTTTTCAACCGTCGGCGGCTTGGTTATTGTCCTTCAAATAATAAATGCGTTGATCCCTTTCGACGTAACTGGTTTCCGCCGGTTCCCACGAGACTTTTTCGATCATCTCACAATACTCAGGGTCTTTTTTTTTTTTTTTTTATTCGTGAGAAAAACAACATAATTTTATTATCGTGCCCGAGCCAACCCAACGCACTCGTTTTATATTCTGTAATTCTTATTTCGGCTCTTACACAGTATATAGCAAAACGTCCTGTGAGAAAATTCTCAGGGGCAATGATTTTTCCGCATAACTTCACCTTGAACGACGCCGCTTGTATTATCTAAGGAATTCCGGATCACCACTACATATATATATATATATATATATATATATTCAAGTAAACACACACTTGCACGCGTATATACTTTAATCTATTTTGGTTATTCGAAAAATAACTTCCATTGTAAGATCTATAAATTACATGGTAATTACTCGTAGTTAGACCTACTCAAAGTAACTCGGGTAAACCAAAAAGTATTTTTCTTTTTTTTTAAACAATAAAAAGATTTACATTTTTTCACTGCATGATATTGATTAAAACAAAACTGTTGTGTATCATTACTTGATTTCTTTCTCAATTTTAGTTGCACATAAAACTAACCATTCCATCAACCAAACATAACATAACCTAACCTAACTTAACCGAACATAACCGAATTTAAATGAGTAAATAAATTGATAAATTAAAGCGTAAAACAGTATTTTAATGGGACAGATTTTTAACCCTTCACTGAAGGTTTCATGATAATTGTTTTAAACTGACAACCGTCCATAAGATACATTCGTGTTAAGAATTAATAACTTGTGAAATCAACAAGATTTTCATACACCCACATTTTCTTATACATTTTCAATACTAAATATAATAATTTTCATCTGAGCAAAAAAAACGGTTGTTTTTATTATTAAACCAACAGTTTAGTATAATCAAAAAAATCCAGACAACATACGGCAAGCATTTATAATTGCTTTTGTTTTCAAACAACTTAGTTGTACAAACCGTTAATTTTTAATCACGTGAAACATGCACCTGCTGTTTTTTTTTTACCAGAAAACTGTGGAATTTTATTATACTAAATAAGAAGCGAAAACGGAATTTCTTAAGTGTTTCGCCCATTTGGGACGATTCCGGTTTTCGGCAGTTATAAATAAAATACGTCAACACTTTAAATAAACGTCTTAAACCAAGTCCGGTGTTACAGTATACAGTTATAAGTAGTCAGTTAAGTTGATTTTAATCGCTAAGAAGCAAGGTATATACAGCAACAAAAAGTCGTGGGAATATAGTTTATACAAATGTATGAAACATTTAGTTTTTTGTCCAATTATTGATTGTCTTAATAATATTTTTCATAGATTGTATTAGAAATAATATATTGTTTAATAAAAAAAACTAGCGCTTATACAATGCTATTGCTCAAATATATTTTGTTCTCCACCATTTGAAACAATATTGATTAATTTATGAGAATTTAGTTGTATCTAAGTATCTTGGTTAGGTTAGGTTAGCATTTAACAAAAATGTATTATGAAATGGATAGCATGTATCAGAATGGAACCAAACCACTGTTAACTGTTAATCTAAATTCTTTATAGAATAAATTTGGTTTTAGCTAGGTGTTTTGGTCGGCTCCTAGTCATGTTCAGAATTGCTCTTATCTCGTTGTTCGACAATTTTCTGGACTAGTTCATACCTGATAAATGGCGTCCAAATGTCATAACTGTAAAATGATAACTATGGCATTTCCGAACACGTGCTTGCATCTATGATGTAATAAATAATACAATTATGTTGTTTTTTTTTTGTAGGATATGCATGGCAAAAACGACGGGGGTCTTATGCCGGAGAAGGATGTAAGCCAAGACTACGAGCTGTTGGCTTCCGTTCAAAATGGCTCCCACATTTCCGTTGTCTTCCGGAGGGCTTGGGACACCTGCGACACACACGATGACGTCGTGTTTCAAGTATGTATATATACAAATTTTATCATTATTATACTTAGAGAACTAAAGGTATCAATTAACCTACTATTATATTTCACATTTCCCGTCATACCTACCACACACGCTACTACTACAGCCAATTGTTTGTTTTTGTTATATGCAAAATCGATTCAGTGTTTGTAGAAATATAACATTTTTGTCTTCGACGAGAACTACCCAATCGTTGTTTTCAATGTACATTAACTATCAACCGCCGACGTCACTGTCACTGTTATTTATATAAGGATTAAGCCAATCAACGCTATGCATTGTTTCCGGTGGGTACTGGGCTCCTGTCATTTATCTCCAATAGTATTTCTAGCTTTTGTCTGTTGGCGATTGTTTGGCAATTCAATGCGATTTGAATAATTGGCTTACAAATGGATGTCTTATTTAATGATTTATTGAAATACGCAGTCGAGGAACTCTTGTTTGGAGTATATTTTTTTTTCAAATTAATATATTCGCTTTGAAGGAACACTCTAGTAGTAGTAGTAGTACTCTGGAGTAAGTTTGGAAGTTTTAATCGTGTGGCAATTTTGGCGAAAACTTTAACCAAATAGAGAGTAGAAAATGGCCGAGCGAACTTGTGAAATCGTTTCTTTTTAACTGCGCTATGGCTAATAAACTTTCTGGTAACAACGTCGTTGTAGAGACTTGGACAATTTTTCGTCGAAAACCGGCAAATGTATAAAATGAATATATAAACGCAACGACACGTTGAAAGCGGTATGCATGCGTGGATACAATAGCATCACAGTTCTAATTTGTATTCATCGGAACGCTTGCAAACGGCCCAATGCATTTTGATTGCCACTAGACGCGAGAACGTTTGTTGCTGCCGGTACGCTGCAGAGACACCTGCTCAAGTGTGTACAAACAACAGACCCAGGAATAATAGGAATCGTTTTAATGATACGGTTGGTCGCCGATGCAGTACATTTTTGCTGTACAACAGCCGGCTTGTATGGCCACAACGGTTATATCTCTGATAATTATTCTAAAACTTGTACGGTATACTTTTTTGACGGTTGAAATTTCGGCGCAGGCCAGCGTTCTGGATTAACCGGATCATTCTTCTAGCACGAATGCATCAACACGGTGTGAGGTAGGAGCCATGCAAAAGGTGTCCCAAAACCAGTTGAGAGTAGTGTAGAGTGTAGTTCAATTAATTGGCTTGCGATGAGAGCTCCGAGAAATCATTTGGTGAAGAATTAACATGGTAACTAATGATTTTGATCGACCTTTTTCCATGCTGCAATTTCCTGCCTCAGCAGTGGATCAAAATGCCGAACCCAAGTCTCATCGCATGGACCTCTTCAATCTGAATCCCCGTGCAATGATTCATTTGCTCCTACTTAGGCTGCTCTTTTTTTGAGAGATTTGCAACGAATGGCTGAATGACGATCCCCTATAGGTTAGGTTATCCCCTGGATTTGATGAGTTTGATTCGGTATTATAACCCACTGCTGAAGCAATGCAAAACTGTCAGTTTTTGTTGAGAAAATTAAAATAATTTCTCTGTGAATTCTTTACCAAATCAGCTCGTGGATCACTCTATCGTTAGCCGCTGACAACCAGCACTACTATTGAAACTGAGCACTACTCTCAGATACTAAAGGCAATGGAACCTATCAAATAGCAATACATCCGACATCGATGGCCTGATAATGGAAGCAAGGTTGAATTGTGCTAACTGGTTTGCTGTACTTGATACCAATTGGCATCAATTATAATTTTTCTGCGATTCGGCCATCTTCAACATAATATATTATGTGCTACTCTGTTACTGGCTGCGTACTTTGTTGGGTTTTCTTGGCAACTATGACGAATACGGTCGCATAACCCTGAACGTGATACGAATGCTTCAGCGAACAAGGTATCATAAAAAATGAAAAATTAAATTATAATATTATTATAATTATTTGTTTCGGTTATTGCGTTCATGTTTAAACAATAGCTCTGGTCAACGACCGTCGCTACTGCACTAAATTAGTATTATTTAATACAATATTATAATTTCATTTCTATCATGAATTTATTTTTTTTTTTATTTCTCGTGAGAATGGAAAATATATAATGTATGATTTCGTCCAATAATATTTTCTTCGAAAACCATGCTTCGCAGTATGAACTTTTATTTTGCTCGTAAATGGTTATTATGTAATGTTTATGCGCACAATAATAAATTCTTGTTAACAAGGAAATAGCGGGGCTTACATGTTTTCTTTATAGCTTAGGGTATTACGAAGGTCGTGGATTTTCGATCCGACGAATTTGTATTTCATACAAATGTGTATTGATGTAGTTATGGTGAAATTCGCTAGTCACCAAGTATTTTTCTTTAGAGTCTAGTGCAATATCATCTACCAATGTATTATAAAACTTCAATTCCACATTCATAAAACAAATATGATTTAATAATTTCTAAATAGCTTTTTTTGCCACTTTAATTCATTAGCCAACAGGAGAGCGACCTGACCTAGAATATGACGTTATTTTTAAAAAATTATGTAATTGTTTTTTGTTGTAAATTATATAGAATGACACTATGAGAATGCTTTGGACATTGAGTGATCGAGATCCAATCGACAGACAATATACAGAGGCTCTTAAATTAGGAGATTCGTGGAGGGGCACTCAGAGCTTTCATCCGAAAGGCTCCAAGTACAGACCGAACACAGATTACTATGATCGATGGGACGTCACAATGGACAATGTAAACGAAATCGAATTCTCGAAAATAAAATTATATGCGCATATTTCCTAACCGATTATTTGTATTTTTTTTTTCTTTTAGTTGTATCTTAAGGACAACATCGATACGCTTTACTGGTGTAAGATTTTCAGAGCACCTAATATCACATCGAAAAATCATATCGTAGGAGTAAGTATAATGAATAGATGTGACTTTATTATATCACAAGCTATAGGAATGAGTATTCTAAAAACTCTTAATTTAACTATTGTAGTTGAATCATTTTCATTTTCATGTTATTAATTTATGTGAGTTATGTCTTTGGAATTTTGGTAATAGATCATAACTATGTCTGGACATATTTCTACTGGATTTTTCCTGGACCACATGTAAATGATAATTTAACTAATTTCAAAAATATTTTCATTAGTTTGTGCCATTGCTGAACCCCGACACACGAAGTCTTATTCATCACATGATACTGTACGAGTGCGACGATGGACCAGACACAATGGAACGGTACGTGACGCTAAAAGGTGAACAATGTTACGGCAACAACATGCCTGACGATTGGAACAAGTGTGTTTCGCCAGTGGTAACGTGGGCAATGGGTTCTGACGGTCAGTTCTTGCCCAAACATATTGGCGTTCCCATCAAAGACAGGCACTTGTATTACATGTTAGAAGTACACTACGATAACCCTACATTAAGAAAAGGTATGCAATTTTTGTATGAACCATTATCTGGTTTACACTGTACTTGGGTTTTTGAAAAATTGGCATCACACAACCTGCTGAATCTAACCTAACCTAACCGTTCTTTGTGTAGTTATGGACAATTCGGGCGTCAGGGTGTACCATACGGATCACTTAAGGGCAAACGACGCAGGCATTATGGCTGTCGGTATGGCCGTGTCGCCGATGCACATAATTCCACCTAGACAAGTCCACTACAAGACGTCCAGTCTGTGTGACAAAGACTGCACTAACGTTATGTTCCCCGAACGAGGAGTGAAGATCACTTCGGTTCTTTTGCACGCACACCAAGCGTCCAGAAAGCTCAAACTTCGACACATCAGGCACGACCAAGAAATGGCCACCATAGCCAAGGTAACAAACCGACCGGGATCAACCAAGATAATTGATGAGATTTGTTTAACAAAGCCGGAAAACCATGAATATCATGCTTCTAAATTTCAGCTTTAGCTAAAAACCTCACGAATTTTTTTTCCCCAGCAAACGTGTTTTAATTTTCATTTTTGTCTCAGGACGACCGCTACGACTTTGGCTATCAACAAGCCAGAGAGTTGGCCAATGAAGTAACCGTATATCCCGGAGACGAACTCATCACCGAGTGCGTGTACAACACTGAAGACAGACCGCATCTGACTCACGTGAGTAGTATTTAAGTGCAATCGTTTGATTTCAACGGTTAAACTGCTGTGGTAATAAAGTTTTTGTCGTCACGAATCCTAAACTTTATCTTAACGCAGGGAGGCTATTCGACCAAACAGGAAATGTGCTTGGCTTTCGTCACGTATTATCCGCGAACGCCGTTGGCCAGTTGCTTCAGCATGACTCCCGTGCCATTCTTTTTCGAGACGTTCGGCGTCCAACAGTTTTTAGATTACAACATGGAAGGCGTCGAGAAGATCTTTTTGAAATTAGCCGAAAGCTCGTAAGTCAAGTTTAATAAGCTTATTTCTACTAGAAGAGAGAGTAGAAATGATAAAGAAGATGGGGAAAATCACATAATATGTGGTTTATGTCACATGAGAGAAATAATAAAAGAAAAATAAAGAACGAGATTATGGCCAGACGGGTAAAAGATGTAATTTCTTTTGGTATCAGAACAAGGCCATTAAACCAGGGGGGACGAGGGATAATAGGGCTGATACGTCGATGTCACAAGGAAAAATTGACAGGAATAACTGTCGTTTGAACTGCCACGACTGTAAAGTAGTTTTCTGGGTAGATGTCACGATAAGGGATGAGAAGTCCATGTCGATTAAGGAAGAATGCAGTTGAAGTGGCTAGGGAATCAGCTGTTACGTTGCCAATGATCTTAGAGTGACCTGGAACCCAGAGCAATTGACACACACGGAACAAGAGAGATCTAATGTTGGGAATAAGGAAGGATATTTTAAAGGGATTGGAGGAGAGAGCTGGTCAGGAAACTACTTTTATTAGAGAGAAATGAAAAAGAAGAGTATAGATTATACAATGAGGTGGTATACTCCGCACTTGTTGGACGGGCTATTAGCATATTGCAAAACTATGTGATCACATTGACCAATTAGTTGTTTGTATTTTTTTAGGACTGCGAAGCCGCCAACCAAAACGACCACGCCGTTGATAGCGCCGGCGTTCGACAGTGAAAAATCTCTGGAAGAACTCAACCAGGCACACATTTCGTACTTAATGAAGCAGCCTTCGTTCACGATCGAAGAAAACAGCGAACCCAATCTGTTTAGGGATTTGGAAATTATGGAGCCCGTGGAATTCCAAAACAAAACGTTTCAACAACATTTGGAAAACATACCGTGGGAAGACAGTCTTCTGACCAGGAACATTGAAAGCCGACTTATCACCGGCAAACACATGACCTTTTGCCGTTTGCAAAACGACACATTAGCACTAGTAAGTTTCACAAAAATATTGTCAGTCATCCACTAAATCCACAACTTAATATTGATAAAGTCCCAAAAATGTAGCTGGTCAAAATTACCTACTTATGATTGAAAGGAGAGTTAAGTGACTGAAAAACCACATCCAAAAATTCACCATATCAGCACGTTTTGACTGATAACAATCTCCTTCCCAGGCAAAGTCAATTGTCAGGAATTGCTGACTCCTTAAAAGCATATTACTCAAACCATCCCTACCATGGCGGTAAATTCAAAACTTGACAGTACAGTGAGGTACCATTGTTGGAATACACTTCACATATGTAATCCCATAGGTTGATTAGATAGTATTTCTCAAAAAGTCATCCTTTAGCAATGCTTTTTTTCAAGCGACCTAACACTATGTCAGAAGGCGGCAAACTAAGGGTGTGAGGAAATAATGATTAATTGATCGGTTTTTTTTTTTTGAAGCATGTTAACGATTCTGACTGACACATTTTTCTGACCTAAATGTGTCCTTAAAAGGACAATTTTTGAGATATGAAAAAAAATAATGAGATGGTCTTATTTTTGTTTTACAGATGATGAATACTTATGCGTATCCCAACTTCACAGCTTACAACGAGCCAAAAATCACAGATGAGGCATGCGTGCCACTTTCAAACAAATTCCAAAACTCGTCGCCGATCCTGAATAGTTCCTATGTATTGATTTTATTAAGCACCGCACTGATTTATACATTAGATATTAAAATTGTTTAAATAAAGTCCACTCATTCATTGTGTAGTTTATAGCATGTAAGTTCAAGTCAATATTACCAAAGTATGTTTGTACATAATTTAGTATAGTTTTTTTTTTTTAATAAAATAATATTAAAATTTTGTGATTGCTCTGTCACTTATTAGACTATTATATGAAAACTTATTTATCGTCATGTCGCCTTGCCCATTCATTTGGACTTAAGGTCTGAAAATTAGAAAACCCCCAAAAAAGGGTCAATTATTTCAGATCTATGACCCCCTTTGAATCCTTGCCTTTTTTCCCCCAGTTCTTTTCTTTAAATTATCTACTTTAAGCTTTAAGCTGCGAACTACTTATTTTCAATAGTTATTAATATTCTATAACTACTAAATTCAATGATTATATTTTTCCTTACTTAAGTACAGGCCACTTAAAGCAAAATGTATGTTTTAAAATTGTTGAGACACCTAATTATCTAATAAAACGTTTACAATTCCACTTTATTTCCAATTTTTTTATTACATTACTCGTTTTAAATGTATTATATACTGTAATAAAAAATAACTATTTTAAGAAATAACTATAATAGATCACAAAAAATTCCACAAATCAATACATAAAATTATCTAATTATAATTAAATTATACAATTACTGTCAACTGGAAAAATACTATTTTTTTTTTTTAAACCGCGATTAAATATATGTATAAATTATTTTTTCAGTGTCCCTAATTTAGTAGTCAATTTATTAATTTGACATAGTGAAATAATAATATTATTAATGAACCATCACTTGCCTGGTTATTGACTAAATCTTGTCGAGAAGACAACTTTTTTTAGAGTGGAAACTAACTTCTATATCACCAGTGTAATTATATGGATGGTTGCCCATTCGATTTGAGTACAAAATTGACCGATGGTTATTATTCAAATTTACTAGCCTTAATAGTTTTGCTATTTATCACTTAGTTTATGCTCATTACCTATTGACATATTGAACGAAAAAGAGTTTAATGGAAACATTTTTTCCAAAAAATAACAGATATAATAAAATATGTTCCATGAAAAATTTTAAGCGTTAGGCTATTAATTGTGGCATGACCTATGCCTATGCCATGTCCTATATAAAAGTTTTATTACAAAAAAAAAAAAAATGCCACCATAAAAACTACATGCAGGTACATATAGACAATATGAATTTGGAAATTATACATACATTTAATTTACACACCTTCGGGCATATTTTCAGCTTCTAAATAATATTGTGTTATTAAAATTCAATTATTATCAAAATTAAATAGCCAACACAGGGGGGTCGGAAAGATCACTGGTGTGGAATTATTATAACTGAAAGTTGTATAATCGCTTTCCAATAAACGCTCCGATCCGAAAATTTGTATGGTAAGAACTATTTAATACGTATGCATAATCTACCGACAACGACCTAACCGAGAAAAAAGGGCCAAGTTTCAGACCTCCTTTCAAAAAATGCCAGCCTATCAAAGTAATAATATCTACATTGTGGCCAAGTCTGCTGAAAATTGCAATCTTCAAAATCAGCACCGCAAAATCTGAGCTACTTAAGACTAATGTATGTTTTAAACTTTTAAAATCCTATCTTGAGAGAAAGCAGAGATGCGAGGGTGAGAAAAACCTGGTGAATTGGCTTATGTAAATATACACTGACATGCTTACTGGGCGCTCAGGTTCTCTAACTATAATTGAGTCCAATATAAGAGATTGAATATTTCGACTGATCGATTAGGAAATTTATTATATTCTCGAAAAGTAAAAAAAAACTACTTTTTATTATAAAAGAAATAGGCAGAAATGTCAATAAATAAATCCCTAAAGCAACATTGTGCTTAAAATTGTATTTTTATATGTAGGGTGAAAACGATTAGAGTTTTACCGTTATTGTCGTAATAATATACTGAATATATTTTTAAGATACTTGTTGAATTGACACAACAATAACCTTAGACATATTTTGATACGGTCCAAGAGTAATTTTCCTAAAGTTACGGTTTGATTTTAATTTTTAGACCTCGAGTGATCAAAAAACGTTCACCCCTTCTCGAGGAAAGGGTTTTTAATTTATTTTTTAAAAGGAAGGGTAAATTTTTTTCAAAATGTTCGACCCAATAAAGTAGTACATGTAGAAATCGGTTTAGCAGTTTATCGTGGGTCTAGACAAAAAAATAAAAAACCATACCTACCTTTAGGTCCGCATCAAAGTTATAAAAAATCCCACATAAAATAACTATACCATAATAACTGGACAATGATTTAATATGTACATACCAATGTCGGCGTACGTGACCCTACATTTATTTAAAATGGACACTTTTCAGGTATCTCAGACCTGTTATACCGCTCAATGTGTGGAATGAGATCTGAGTATAAACTTGCCCACATATCGGCTTTTCGTGTTTGTGTTTGGGGTTAGTGAATAATAATTAATCTCACCCACTGTCAGAATGTGTCTCCGGATTCTTCTGGTTGCCCCGTGAGTAGTTTTTTTGGTTGTTGTACGCACAATAACATGAAACAAGAAAAGTTATATACTCACTCAAAATAATATAATACATAGGTTACCTACACATGAATTCTATTTTGCTTAACCTACTGAAAATAATTAATCACAATATTCACAGTGAACGGCTATTATTTGCTAAGAACTGATTAGGTTTTTGATAATAATCTCATAAACCACAGTAGTAATAAAATCACTTAAAATATAGAAATCCTAATTTAAAATGTGGCTGTTAAAATTAAAGCCAAGAAAATTTAAGTTATTTTAAATCAATGTCTACCTACCGGTGGAAATGGTAAATGTTTGTTTCGAAATAGAAACCATTCGGAATTGAAAAATTGATATCTTCTTTAGTGTTGCCACTGTTCAGTTCACTAACCCTTTGCAATTTTGTACAAATTATAATGTAATTTTGTACATGGGTGCATGACAAATAGAATATAAACAGCATAATTATTGTTACTCAGCATAAAACCATAACGAGTGGATGTATGTAAATCTCAATTATAAAACGGTATAGCAATAAAAAAAATTAAAAATTCACATATTTTTTTTTTTTTTTACGATGTTAGTTTACTGCTTTTAAATTATATACTCACATTCGGTTGTATACATGTTTTAAAAAACAAAAATTTGCAAGGATATCTCTATGTACTATGCTGAAACTGTGTTTTGTGTTTAGCCGGTTTCACCAACTATTGTTAAATACACTCTTAACACAATGTTATATACAAAAAAAAATATTTCATTTAACATCTGGTTAAATGAAATAAGTTTCACCATAACATTAGTATTGTTAAATTCTATTTGTTAAGTTAACAAAACGTTAGTTGGGTTACCAAAGCGGTTACCTCGATCCCAACGTTCTCATTGGTTATTAAGATATGTTAATTGTGATAACTGATAAGTGATTGTATTATTTAATTTGTCAGTTTGTTATTATTTGGTATTTTATATTACTTTCTTTTAACGTTTCGGTTTATATAAAAAATTTACATATAATTGTTTAATACATTGTTTAGACAGTCTATACCTTTCTAAAAGAAGTTTGTCATCCAGGTCATTAAAAGAATTTTTTCTATTTTAAAGGCCTAAAAAAAATGAGGTAGTGATAAGAATTATTTCCTTTGTTATACTCAGGACAGGCAAGACATAATAATATTATCCAAATTACAAAATACAATAAATTATGATATTTGAGCCTATAATGTAATCCTGTGCCATTCCTTTTTATCTAATCTGCCTATATGAAAAAACTTCTGCTTACCTAATAAAAAGTTATCGAAGATGTCTTTTCTATTGTTCTTTAAATACTCAATATAAAGAAGTTCCTCTTCAAATGTGTAATTCATTATTATAAATTACTAGTATACTCAGTCAACACAAATTATAAAACAATTTCTGAACTCTAATAATATAAATATTGTATATAAGTACTTCAATACATTTTAACATGCCGGTTAACTGTTTATCAAGCCGATTTCGGGTGATTAATTTAACAATCGTTTTAACAAAGTGTTAAGGCTATCAAATCTCGATGAAACCCAATTTTGAATTTTTAACAAATGTTGATGAACCCAACTGATTGTCTATTATTATTATGTTTTATATACATTGATTTTTACGTAGGTTGAATGTGATGGTCAGTGATCGATTGAGAGCCTTTGTGCATTTTTAAAAATTAAAATTTAGCAAAATGAGCCAAAGAGAAAATTTTTTAGAAGGATTTAGAGATTTATTTGACTAGCCTATACCTACCCATTATTTATGGGATTGAGCAATTGGGAAAGGTTTTTAAAGAGTGAAGCATACTAATTGTAAATGAAACAAATTAAAAGTTTTAACGATTATACTTTGGCTTTTTAATGAAACAAAAAAAATGTACTATTATTAATAAAACTCACTACCAAGTTTTGTCTGTGTTTTATTTTTAACAATGGACAATAAGTTTAGGCTTATTCTAGTCGAAACAAAAATATAACCGTACTATGTGTGTACTATCAAATAAACTTTTCACAAACTTGATACATTTAAGTAGTCAAATCCGCCAAAATTATATCTATTTTCTTACATTTTTTGGTTTATGGGTTGAATTATTTTGTTTTTTTCTTCTAAATTTCACAGATATATTGATAGATTTGTATGTGTTTTATACAAGTCATATACGAATATTAATCGATTCCAACCGATTAACAAAAATGAAACCGGATGTAAAAAAAAAAAATTGTAATATCATTACAATCAATATAATATGTGCTCAGTAACCGTTTATATATATATTTGCTCAAAGTTGTTACGATACCGCTTCTTACAAACAGAATGTGCACTTTTTATTACAGTGATTAAGCGTAATGCCCATATTGTACAGACAGACACAGATATCGTTTGTTCAGAGCGTGGTTTCGTGAAAACGACATTCGATAGTAATAATTGTACTCTTTGAAAACAAAAAAAACCAATGCAATTATTTTCAGATAATACTGTAAGAACACAAGACGTTCGGATGACCGACCGATAGCATTGTTCTTGGGGATAATAATTAATTCGTCCTATACAGGGTGATTGGTCAACAGCTATAAGTTTTTTTTATAAGAAAATATCTTTGAAAAGAAAAACTACAAAATTGTAATTATTCGTTTATACCTCAAACGTTTTTTAACTGGCAACAGTAATGTTTGATCATTACTTAATTAGCTTTCATCAAAATATAATTAGTGCTTTTTTTAACTATTTTTAAAACTTGAAAACAATTTGAAAATAACATCAACTAAAAATTGAACTTTATTATCACTTATCAGTTATCACACTTCGTGATAACCAATGAGAACGTTGGAATCGAGGTAACCGCTTTGGTAACCCAACTAACATTTTGTTAACTTGACAAATATAATTTAATAAGTGTAATGTTATTTAATGAAACTTACTTAGTATTTTTACTTAGGTTAGGTTGAACGTAAAAGTAAAATAATAAAGACACAACATACCGTTTTAGTTTCAAAAACTTGAAAGTGCAAATAATATACAATTTTAGTGGTACCGACAATGCTAACTGTTGTACATATTTAGTTATTTGAATATTGCAATTGTTTTAAGAGATATGGCTCACCCTGTATACTGGCGTTTTAATTAACTCAATTAATCAACACCGTGATGACGATGATGTCTACAAGATTAAACAAAACAAACGTGTGTGTGTCTATAGCAAAGAAAATCAAATCTCATCAGACGACCAACGGTAAGTGTGCATGGTCATTATAATCGATTCGTTGCCGTCAACAGCAACATATAATATAAGTCCTCAAACAACGATTGTTATTATTGTAAACGTTTTTTATTTCTTCAACGACTTAATTCGAAATCGACGATTATCCGCCCACAGTAATAATCGGCCTGCGAATTACCACCTAATGATAATAATATTATCCCAGGTACCTACACCGCATAGGTAATGTCCATACACACTATGTCTTATAATAATAATAATGGTCGTTTGACATTAATGTCAAGTCATCCAGACCGGACGAATCGGGGTTACTAACCGACCAATTGACATTTTGTACACGGAAATTACGGTATCTATACTCATCTACCATAATAATCTAGAAAAAAAAAAAAGATGGTTAGCATAACTAACTTAATAATGAAAATTAGTAGGTATCCGCCGAGTGAAGCGTGTCTCTTATTAATATACTATGTACAATAGATGCGCGCACCCGTCGGAGAATTTGCATTTTAACTTAAATTATTGAAACATAACAAAAATATTTTGTCGTTTCCGTTAATTATAAAAAATAAAAATAAAATAATAAACTTTTTGTGTATATCTCCATATGAATTATTTATCGTGTCCGGAATTTCATATTGAATTACCAATGTAAAAATCCATGCAGAATGACATATTTATAAATAATTTTTCATTTATTTATTTTTTGCAGGTATAACCGAAACAATTCATATATTAGTTTTAATGTTGAAGCTCACACAGTTAATGACCCCCAAGTGAGGACAGGTCGACGACTGCCAACATTAAAATTGTCCATTGTCATGTTTGCAATTTACAGGTTAAACCCAAGGAGGGCGTTGGTCTAATGTCCAGACTATCTTAAGTCCCAGAACTACACTTTCTAAGGTAGATAAATAGCTGTACTCAAACTATTTTCTTAACTATCAAGTGTGGCTTGGGCAGATCATAAAATTTTATTTTTAACTTTATTATTAAATACAACTTTTCAAACAATATTTGGTTAGGTGGTTCTTGGGACGGTGGGCAATGACTTTCAAGACCATCTTGTAGCAAGCACAAGCTCATACCGATTTACCTAACCAGCAATTGTGACCATAATTGTAATGTTTATTCAAATTTTTTTTAATTTCTGCATTTTGTTCTCTTTAAAATATGTTGAAAACGTTATTTATTATGCAACACACGATCCGTTTCGTCAAATATATAAATTATGCTTTCAGTTATTTTGGAAAATAAATAAATTGCAAATGCAATTAGTAATTTATATCCAGCGTTTGGCTTGTGTTTTGTTTGGAAAAGTAGTTAACGGTTAAGCTGCACTGTTGGTTTTTGAAATCAGTAAAAGACTTTATACCCGTCAGATGAGTTTACTAAGTCTGTCACATTTTGTCAAGCGTTAAAAACACTTTAAATAATAAATCACGTTATAAGATAACATCACTCTAGTTTGCATTTTATCGATTGGATACTTGTTAATGAAACACAGCAAAGGTTTGTATCAAACTAGCATCTATAAAATATAAAAAATGTATTATTAAAAATGTAAATGTATTAAATAATTGAAGATTTTATTTTACTTAGAAAATTAGAACCGTGTTAGGGTGTTCGGAAAACTTATGAAATTGTTTTCTGCTAAACACATACTTTTATATATATATTATATTTATAATTTAATATATTTCATATTATATCAAAATATTTATTTGAAGTGATTTTTTTTTTCTAGGCCTCTCTTTTCGTTCCTAGATCCACCCCTAAGTCCTTGTTTATCGAGAGACTTGACTGTGTCTCAGATTTACATAGAAAATAGTCGGACTGATCCGAGTAAGACTTTATGTTATTATATATTATGCATTTTTTAAGGAGAAAACAAGTGCTTAGAAGACGAAGCAGAGTAAGGTTGAATTCAGGGTTCACATAAAAAAGCCCAGCCCAAAAACACCCGGGTTGTTTTTCAGGTAATATCCCACTAAACTTGGAGAAAAAAAATGGTAACTCGTGAAAAGACTGTTTTTCTGTATTTAATTTAAAAAAAATAACATATCTTTGGTAAGCTTATATGAGTAATATTGCATAAAATTAATAAGAATTATAAATGTACACAACATAAATCAACATCAAACTATAGATCACTTTTTAGTAAAAATTGAAATAAAAAAATAAAAAATAATTATTGAAATCTATTTTAAAAAAATGTTAGGTTAGGTTAGTTAAGGTTAGGTTGGGTTAAAAAAAGGTTAGGTTGGGTTAGGTTAAAACAAAAAGTTAGGTTGCGTTTCGAATGGCATTTTCCTGATAAAAAACGGGTTTTTCCAACTTATTCAGGTTAAGTAAGGTTGGGTTAGGTTAGGTTAGGTTAGGTTAGGTTAGGTTGGGTTGGGTTTCGAATGGGTTTATTTCTGATAAAAAAAAAAAAACGGTTTTTTACCAACTTATCCATATTGGTTAGGTTAGGTTATTGACTGTTCCTTGTATATTAATTATTGTTTAATATTATGTTTTCCGCATAACGTGTACGTCCAAAAACACTAATGTCGGTATAGCGACCAGACAAAAAGGAAGCGTTCGGAAAACGAGACTACCGCACAGTGGCAGCGGTGGCGCCCTGGCAAAACAATAACAATATTATCCACGGTTCAGTCTAGGTCGAAGCGGTCGTTTCAAACGGACGCGGTCCAATCAGTCAGGATTGCCCGTGCACCGCGCACACGTTTACCACCTGACCGCAATGACGCTGCGTTCGGGTATATTCACGGTCGACGATTAAACGAGTTGTGTACCGAAAAAAAAAAAAAATACATTTTTAGATACTTTAAGTTTACTTTTAACGCAAAAAAAAAAATGTTAAAATTTCTGATCGCCTTTACGGTACTCTTGTTGGCGGCCAATTCGGCGGCACCACCACCGGCACAAGCCGTCGACGACACCGACCAGACGTTCTCGTCAAAAGCATTTCAGCTCATCAACACCGTCGCCAACTATTTGGAATACATCTACGACATTATCGTAGCGCCTTTCTCGGGTAAGATAATATTTGAATCCACACAAAAAGCCCACTCCAAATGACATACAGTACACTTTAGTCAGGTCTATCCCGGAGTATGCCGCTTTTGGTTTGGTGTCAAAATCAATCAAATAGAGTCCACACCAAAATTTTCTCATAACAGTTCATTATTCCTTGTTCCTATATTTACTCAGGGATGTCCCTTTTGCTTGGATTTATAATGGATTCTGTTTGCCCATAATAATTTGTATGTCAGATTAATTTTCATGTCCTTTCTACAAATTTTAGAGCACCATCTGATTATGTGTTTTATTTTCTTACTCAAAGATAAAATTATAGCTCTCTGTTGAACGTTCTGTTAATTTATTTATAAATACATCATTTAGTACTCATATTTATTACTGTTTTTATATATTACCTAAATAATGTATTTTATATGATTAAACGAATTGTAATAATTATTATTCCTGAGGTCTGAACGAGTAAACGTTTATTTTTTTTTTTGCGTTTCAGTGCAGTTTTACAAGCAAAGGGTTAAAGTAGATTTTATTTAAATTAAACACCGAAAATATAGATATTTAAATTTGAAATAAAGCGTTAGGTTTTTACTTTGCCTATTAAACTCATAGTAATACATTTTCTGTAAAAAGAGTAAAACATATTTTCACTTTATTGAAAAACCCAGTTAATAATCTATATTTGATTTATGTGTATAAACACACATAGTTTTCAAAAGAAATCATTGTCAATTAAAAACAGCATTAATATAAAAAAACTTACTCTAAAAGTTTTATGTTTAAATTATAAATAGTTATAGTATGTTCGCTTGGAATACTTTGGTATTCCTATTAAAATATAGCAGTCATTTCCATGTGTTGTAATTAAGCTTGTTGCTCATAAAATTAATAAACGTTCAGGATTTTTATTCAGTTAACCTTTTTTTTTCTGTTTGTTCATAACAGACGAAATCTAGAACTTAAACCTAAAAAAAATACAGCAATGATATTTTATTAATTATTCTTATAATCAAATTATTAAAATTAACGGTTAAATTTAAATAATGATAATTAGAGCGTGGTCTGTGAATAAATAATATATGCACATTTACGGTACTAAACAAATATTTTATAGCCATTATTCATTATTTTAAAGGTTTTTTTTCCTTAAATTATACTACTATTATGTGTTACAGCTATAAAATTTTACATCTTTTACAATTTCAAAAAAAAAAATTATGTCATTTGATTTTTTTAGGAATAGAAAAGTGTGAAGACAGATTTGGCTTTATGTTTTATCATTTTCTTGCTATTCAAAGGATTGATACTGGTTGTGTTTTGTTATATTACTGTTTTTTTTTTTACAAATATTTACTGAGTTTAGTTAATTTTACATTGATTTCGATTGGGTTATCAACATTTGAGTTTAAAGTTCAAATATAAGCGAATTAAATTTAATTTAAATAACAATTTATTCCAAACATGTTACATATAAGTCAAATGCAAAATAACCTCCCAAACCACTTGTTTTCTATCTTAAAAAAAAATCTTTCTAATTTCCTTTTTTTTTCTTGAGCTTGACATATGTCACACCCACCAACGTGCTCATTTCGACAGCTATGTTATTATAATATGTAAAAAAAAAAATCCATAGTAAGTGTCCTTTGTGGGTTATTTTTCACAATAGTGTTTGCAGAATTGTATTAATAGTAATCTTCTTCAGTCTGTATATTATTAAAATTAAAATTTGCACATGGCTAAATTTACCAAGATTTCATGCTATGTTAGCTCATCTGAATGATCGAAATTTTACTTTACAGTCATTTTTTTTTTTAAATAAATCAACTGAAAACTCGATTATAACATTAAATCACATCAAAGCTATTGAGAAGTGTCAAAGACGATTATATAATTACTTAAAAGGCTAATTTAGATGGCTACTCATAAAATAACAACCTAATTAATATTTGATTTGCATAATGCAGAATGATGGTGTGGACATTTTTCTTTGTTTAGCTTTTTAATGCTCGTGTTCTGAAAAATAGACTAATAGTAGATTTATTACTCAATAATTGACTCAATAGTTGAATTTTTCACCACTAGAGTGCGCTGATAAAATCGGCAGTTGTACTTACATACAGCGTTTCAAATAACTTTAACTGCCTGTCCTGAAAAATTGCATTTTATGGAGTTAATCAGTTTGGCTTCTGAGCGCCTGATATAACTATATATACTTGTGTGGCTCATGGGTTTTCTGAATTTGTTTGTTTTGTATTATATTTCACAGGAGGCATGACGAACAGTAGGCAGTCCCGTCGGGTGTCTTATAGAAAATATCAACTAGTCAGAGTGAGGCCTGCGGACGAAGACGCCGTCCTCGAAATAGAAGCGGTCGCCGAAGAACCAGGCGTGCAAGTTTGGATGCCTATACGCATGAATAAGACGGCGGATCTTGTCTTGCCGCCGAGCGTGGCGAGAGACGTGAAACGGTTTTTGACTCAGAGGGAAATCGATTTCGAAATCGTCAGCAGTGATCTTGAAGTAAGCCAAATAATCTTTTTACAATTTTCTTTCAGTAATTTCACAAAATTGGTGGTTAGGTTATTCCAACTGTCTTGGATATACCTCAACTAGGTCTATCGAAAAATTGCATCGCTTAAGCCCAGATAATAAAGCCTCTTGAATGTGCTCTTGTTAAAACTATTGTCTAACACCTATTTCAGAGGAGTATTAACAAACAAAATCCTAGATCACCATCGCCCAATCAAAGAACCGAGTTGAAAGCGACCAAAGGACACACGTTGACCTGGAACAGATACCAGCGTTATCAAGGTAATACAATTGAATCACACTTGTTCATAATCTTCATTCAAACTAATCACGTTTGTTCAAGTTTAAACACAGTTTATCATTTTTTAATATTGAAAACATTGACTCTATCTAAAGGCAAAATGTTTAAAAAAAATATACGCTATTTGTTTTACCAATAAAATAGGTACATTACTTTATCTTCTCTTGATACTTGCAACGTCTTCCATGCCTACTGTGCTGACTTTTTTTTAATTGAAAAATAACACAGTGTGAACCAAGCACTAACCTATTGCTTATTTAGTAATATTTATTTAGGCAATTTTACCTTTCAGATATTCTCGATTACTTAATGTACCTGTCAGAAAATTATCCTCACTTGGTCGAGTTATTGCCAATTGGAAAAACCGCAGAAGGACGTCCGCTCAAAGTAGTCAAAGTATCGTCAGGCCAACCCAGAGAGAATATGAAAAAACCGGCCATTTGGATTGACGGAGGTAAACACAGATGGGGGAAATAAAGTATTACATGCATTAGGAGTTTGAATATTTTTTTAATAAACCATTACCAAAATATGAATATTTAAAAAGAACGTACAGTGTTTCAGAATCAAACGGGAGAATGGTAAATAAACGAGGCAAATTTAAACGCGATTTTTTTAAATTTTAAATATAAGATTTTAAGATAATTTGTAATTTGTTATCAATTAAAAAAATACAGACATTTTCTATAATAAAATATAATAGATGTCCTGAAATCTAATATCTCTTATCTATTATCTCTAAGAATTCACCTCTATACTCCTCCATATTCCCTCCATGATCCTACTCCATACTTTTCCATAATTACTTAATACTCCTTCATATTCATGCAGATATAAATATTATAACATTATTCAATGGGTAATTTATGAGATTTTAGTTGTATCTTAAGTATCTCTTTATTCTTTAATGAGTAGTATTTACTTAAATAATCTCTAAAATCGTCTCTGAAAAAAATTAAGAGTATCCACACTCCATGCAGATACATCAATACAGGGATATGTTCTGCAATCTAATATCTCTAACCAACTATCTCTATTAATTCACCTCTATACTCCTTCATAATTCCTTAATACTCCTTCATGTTCCTCCATAATCCATAATGACGTCAGCACTGTGACACAAAACGTGACGGACAAATGTTAAGCCATAAGACATATCCATGTCAAGTTTGCCCTATTACTCTTCGGTTTTGTCCACTTCACACTTGACTTTTTGTTTTGATATTTTAGGAATGCACGCCAGAGAATGGATATCGCCCGCGGTAACACTTTACATTTTGAGACAGCTCGTGGAAAACAGTAAAGCCTATAAAGCCATGATAACGGATATCGATTGGTATATTCTTCCTGTGGTGAATGCAGACGGTTACGAGTACACTCACACTACAGACCGCTTGTGGAGGAAATCCAGAAGAATACCTGTAGAACTAGGAAGGTGTGGTCATGGATTTTATCAATTGAAAATAACATATTATACACGTGTATGTTTATTTTCTAGGACTTTATGGGGACTGTCCGATGGATGTGAAGGCGTCGACTTGAATAGAAACTGGGATTGGCATTGGGCAGAAGTTGGCGCTAGTAACGATCCTTGTCAAGACACTTTTGCTGGATCACATGCATTTTCCGAACCCGAAACCAGAGCAGTGTCCGATTTTATTTTGGACCACAAAGATAGGCTACAAGTAAATTACCAACTGCGACCTGTCGTCTTGTTGTAGCTTTATTGACGTCCAAAGTATTATATTCTAGGTTTATATAAGCTTACATTCGTATTCTCAAATGTGGTTAATACCGTGGAGTCACTCGAAAAGACGCCTAGAAGATTATGACGACTTAGTGTATGTAGCACGACACGCAACCGATGCGATGCAGAAAGTACACGGATCTCATTATCAACTTGGGACTTCGCCCACCCTTCTCTATGCTACATCTGGTAAGTAATACATAGGTGCTTGGCTGTATTCTCTGTAAAAAAAAAGTATACATTTACCAAGGCATACTTTATGTTTTAGGCAGTTCCGATGATTGGGCCAAAGGCAAAGCTGGAATAAAATACAGTTACACAATAGAACTTCCAGACACAGGACTTTATGGGTTTTTATTACCGGCCGAAAAAATAGTGCCGACAGGAAAAGAAATATTCACTGGAATTAAGTCCATCGCTAAATCTATCATTAAGATTAATAACCTAAACGAGAACACTGCTGACACCTAACATACTTTAAATAAATATTTAGCATGTATAATAACTGTAAAAAAACGCTGAGAAAAAAAAAATACAACAAAGAAACTTATTATGGCGTCAGTTTGTAAATACATGTAAAAACAGATGCGAATATGTTTATTTTTGGTTGGTAAGCCTAAATAAACAATTGGTTTGTAACCATGGTGACCACGGTAACCAAACAATTGGTTTGTAACCATGGTAACCGCGGTATACAAATTCAAACTTTCTCCAGTGTTCATTTATTAACGACGAAGCCGGATAACACAGCTAGTATATAATCACAGCATAAGTATACCTAATAAAACAGTCCTTTTTAACAAAATTGAAAATAACCCTCCCCCCTAGACCTTAACCCCCTAAGTAAGGGGTAAAAATAAAGAGGAATTCGAAATCGTAAAACTTGACCTATTTTAAAGCCTGTTGGCTAATGTTAATAATAATCTACTGAAAAAAATGTATATTATTGTAAAAAATCCAACAAAAATGTTCATTTACAAAGTATTAGCCATACAACATGTGTAAACATGTTTCAAAGATTTGTCTGTAATAGCATTTATTGATTTTTCTCAATACTTTGAATTTAACTTACTATTTTTAAACGGCTGTATTGTTTTAAGTGTGTCAATTATTGATAATGCTTTAAAATAAATGACTAAGCCAATAAAAACAGCAACCGTTTTATAGTGACAAAGTTTACAATTTTTATTACACTTAATGAATTGATTTTACATATTGAAAAAAACATTGTACATTTTATACAATCATGTAGTTCCATATAATACTAATTTCACTAAATATTGCTGAGGTTTATCACGATCCTGATCGTGTGAGCTTAACATGACATAAAAGCTCAACAAGGCTGCCATCATAAGACGGTTTCTAAACGGCTTCGTCTTCGCTATCCGAGTCGAGAGGATAACAATAGTAAACTTTACCCGTGGATGGATTGTAAAAATCAAAACCAAGTGCGCTCATGTGAGCACCGATGTATCCTGACAAAGAATTCAACTTGCTTACATAGAAATCATACAGAACAACTGTGGTGTTTTGTTCGGTAAATTCTTCATTTAACTTGTCTATTAAGAAGACACGGTGACATGGTCGACAGGTGCGGTTGAAGTGTTTACCTAAATTGTTGGCAACATTTTTAACGGTCCAGTTTAAACTTTTTTCTGATTGTTGCACGTCACTCATGTCCACACTCCTATGTGAAAGTAAAAATGTACGAATCGGCGACAGGACTTGGTAAAACGAACACAAATGAACTTTACCTGAGTGTCCTTGTAATCCTTGGATGTGTACGAAGGCGGCCATCAATCTTAATATCTCACCAACACCAGATTCGAAGGCATGTATGATTTTTTTCCAACAGTCGACCGTTAGAAAATTATTCACTTCCGACAAACGTCTGCACTCGAAAACCGTGTGGATAGTTAACCAAAGAAAGTCATACAAGTGTTGGCCGTAAGCGCAACCCATCATATATGGGACAATGTTCAACTTATCGATTGTCCTGAGATGTCGACCCGAATCTTCTGTGTACACATCAGTTTTGTTGGTCCAACCCGATCTACATTTGACTTCGGCTAAACTCAGGTGTTTCCAATGTTTTGATTGACAAACATGGTACATCTGACACTTTGCTTCATTCGTCGAGCGCTGGCTAACAACCCTCGTCGTATCGTCGTTTATGCATAAAACAATTAAAGCGATCAAAAACTTAAATATGAAATGCGCCTTCATGCTGAATGGTTTACAAAATCAATAAGACCTACCAAGTCTATACCAAACACTGTTGAAGATAATACAAACTAGGTATGTGCAAACATCTAACCAAAACGCACTCATTGTTTGTCCAAGACATGTGTAAAATATATTTCTAGTCCGTAAAAATGTGCACGGTAAACAATAGTTGTTGTTCAATATATCTAAGCTATAACAAACAAAAAACAATCATTAAAACATATTTTACCTGAAAGTTAAAACCCGCATTGTTTGTGTCACACATAACATTTTATTTTATTCCATAATTGTATTGTACAAGTAGAACCTTTAATCTAACATTCAGGTCTTAAGTCCAAAAACATTGATCGAACGATACAAATAGAGAAATAATTTTCACCCATTCTAGGTTAGCTTAGGTTACATAAATTATTTTTTTTAATGCTATCTTATTTTATTAACTGGCAATTGAAAAAAATCTAATAGACATGCTGCTATATCCACACAATATGAATTTGACAATTTTGTTTTTGAAAAACTTCTATTTTTTTTATCCCACATGAGATTTGGTAGGTTTAACAATTTTACATTACAGGAATGAAATATCCAGTTTATAGTAAAAATGAATAATTTTAGTAGTCAATATTTTAATTGAGACCAAAGCAAAAACAAAATGAAGAACTTAGTACCTCACAATTTACTAGTACCAACCAACTCGGTATTTAGAGCGTTAACAATCGCCTATCGAGTTTACTTTAGACATCTATTAAAACCCATCAGTTATAATAGTCCCACTATTATGACATATTATGATAAATAAAAAGGAACAATAGTACTTTTTATTTTATATGTGTAATTTGTGGGACTTATAAAAATTATAAACTAAATGGAAAACGTCCTAAGCAAATGTCCAGTTACACGATAGTAATTATTGTAAGAATATTAATACAATATTAAGAATCTTAAAAACATATAGTAGTTAAATTACCATTTTTGTACTACAAAATGGTCAAATTAGGTTTCATGTCGCTCGAAGGAACAATGTTGAGTAAAAGACTTACATCACATTCACAGCATTTGTCAGTATGTCTGAGTTCATGTTTCTTTAGATCACACTATTGGACAAACGATTTATCACAAGCACAGCAGTTGTACGGTTTGTCACCGGTACGTAATCCTCGCTTGAGTGTAGCTTGAGAGGAAACTGCCAACTAAGCAATTTGTCGCAGATTTGGCACTTGTATGGCTCATCACCAGTGTGCACACACTCATGCCTCTTTAAGTTTTTGTTCAGGGTAAATGATTTTTCACATACATTGCATTTATATGGCTTTTTGCCAGTATGTACTATCGGTTGTGATTTACATAAAAAAAGTTCTCATGCAGACATCATCGTCGTTTCGAGTTTGCTACTGCTATTCCGATGATCGACTACAGTTTTTCAAAACTGGTTTTTTGCCTTGGAAGTAGTAGAATGAAACCTGCAACATATTATATTAATTAGATATATATATATATTCTTTTATAAAAAATCAGTATTCTTTATTAAATTTATTTATTTATTTAATTAGTAGAATGTTACTTTTTTTTATAACTATTTTACAATGATATGATCTGAAGAAATCCCCAATTCAAGGCCACCAGATAATTATATAACTATAATTTTTAAAAATAAAATTTGCCTTTTAGTTGTAACGGATTTCTGACATTCGCTGCAGTCATGCCATGGTGTTAGATCGAAATCTACATTGTCTCTCATTTGTCCAGCATCCGACAGTTTGTGTTTTATGATTTTTATTTCTGTTTCAAATATACAGTCATTGATGTCATCTAATTCAATTTTGTTGTTTAATCCGTCGTTATTTCTGTCAAGTCTAAATAACAAAATATATACCATTTTTAAAAATATGAATTCATAACATTTACAATTTTCTCTATAATAAACATAAAGTATCACCCCTGAAGTCGAAGCCCAAGTTATAATAAAAAAAAAAAAAAAAACAAAGTATCATAGGCCTTTATCTATGAAAGGAAGAAGGTATGTAGCTAAAAAGGGCACTGTTTTTTTTTCTTCAAAATGTTGAATGGTCTATAACAAGTTATGAATAAACTCTATTGAAGGTCTATAATGATTGAACGAGGTAAGAGGTAGTAGATTAAAAAGGTTAATTCTTATGAATACATTCAGTACATTCAATTCTGTATAGTGAATTGCTTATAAAGGAAGTTTAAAACTAAGGAAAATTATGTGGGCAATAATTGGTACCTAGATTTTCTTTTAATATCACTGAATAAATAACTTGACGAAAAAAAAAGAAAAATAATAGAATATAATAAAAGAAATAATAATCGCGCATGAAAATTAACAACACTACTAATACCTGCAAGTAACTCAATTTAAATTGCCCCTATGGCACAAATTAGGAACTAATGATTTTACAGACTATGCAAAATAGCTACATTTTGAAAGGGTTAATTAATAGTATAGGCAAAATAAAATAAATTAATGTTAAGTGTGATTATCGTCAAGTTTAGCTTGTGTTATTTATTTGACCAAATTTTAATATACTAGATTTAGATAATTGAGGTATAAATGTGTAGAACATTAAATATGACTTTTAGGTAAAAAAGCCTATAGTTGATAGCCCTTATGGCTTACTAGATGAATTCAAAGTAGTGTTGACTCCATGTCAAACAACTGAACTCCCGAGTAAATAAAAGATCATGAAGAAATATAATAAATATAGGTATGATTCTAATCTTTCACAAAAACTATTCTAAACAAGTCAATGGATGACAGAAAAGTCGGTAATAATATAATTTAAATATAAATCAGTACTCACACGTGTAATTGACAGGCGCTGTCCAGTGCTAACACTTAAAATAAATGACTTAAGGCCATGGCAAAACTAAATCGTAACAATCTAAAACTACCTATATTATAACAAACACTTTGAGTTATTTATGACAAAATAAAATTTGAATACGTAACGATTAGAATTAGTAAAGGCTAAAGTAGTTAATACACGAATATTTCCAATTGTAAAATTGTAAGAACAAATTGTCTGCAATACAACGCTATGACTTAGATAACCTAATAGTTCACATTTCACAAACACAATCCGGTACAAAAAGAAACTGGATAACTAACTTAACTAACAGAAAACGTCTACTTCGTGTACAATAAACAAGAAATGACAATAAATTGACATTGACAACTGACGAAACAAAATATTATTTGAAATATTATTTTGACAAGTTGACAGATGATTTGTGTAAGCTGATTGCTGTTATCAGCAGCTGATAACGAGTGGTTACCAGTTACCACTGTGGTAACAAATACTCGGTTGAAGGTGAACCGCAGCGTGGAGGTAAGATGTCGCGCGTTTAAGGCGGCAACACATCAAATTCCCAACTCCCGGTAGCTATACAATTATTATTAAAATAATTAAAGCAATTTAAAGTAATAAATGTTTAATTATATTTATTATCAATTTAGTATAATATGATAAACATTAAACAAGGTTCATGGTAAACTCGTGTAGTTGAAATAATTTCTCAAATAGTTACATATCACATGCATTACAACACATAAATTTAATGGTGTTTTCTGTTTTCCGCCATTCCTTTGCTGTTTTAAAAATAATAATAATAATTAAATAATATTAAAATAGTACACTTTGAATACAGCTGTCCACACATTATATATTTTATTAAATTATTATCAATGTATTATTTGGACCCTGAATAATGTTCAGATTTAGAAATCGTTTTTACACCAAATGTATTGCCAAAAACTAAGAAAATATTTTAAAATCTTTCCCCTAGAAGAACACAAAATTGACTACAGATTATAGACATCTTTAGTGGCATTAAAGAATACTTTAATGACATTTTAGAACAATTTTTAAAAATTTGAACTTTTAAGCCACGTTGTGCGAAAATTTAATGTTTAACAATGTGTAGGTCCGTTATAATATGTACTTTTTTTAAATATATATTAGGTAAAACAATATGGATATTAAATTTTACCTTCTACTGAATCAGCAGTAACCTTAGAGTCTGTTGTTGTAGGTGTATCCGGAACTTCTGTAATGATAAATTAACGTCGGCGAATTTAGCGTAAAGGAAAATTAATAAAGTTATTAAAAATGTGATGAACAAGTAAAATTATTGTATGATAACAATCATACTTATAAATCTATGTTAATTATCAACTGAAATAAATAATGTTTGAAAAAAATATTTCTATAACTTAACAATATATTTTACTCTGCACCGAGTAATTTTAAACGTTCATTGTCTTCTAAAAATATGTATATGGTTTTACCTAACGCCGGAACACCTTTGCTTCCTAAAAAAAATAATTTAATTTTAGAAGTAATATGTTGTCTTTCGTATAATAATTTTAAATCCACCTATTTTTGTCTGTAGTCTAAGCATTTTAAACTTATTGCATATAAACAGAGTGTGTAGTTTTTCACCACTATTGTCTATTTTACTTATGCTTACATTATATTCTTAAACATTTTTATTGAACAATATTACAAAATATAACAAAAGAACAATTTTACATTCAGGCTTCATTACAAATTAAGGATATATATATATATATATATATATATACAGTATGGATAATATACACTTACCTTCTGCTGAATCATCAGCAATCTTAGATTCTGTTGTAGTTTTATCCGGAAAATCTGTAATGATAACTTAAACGCAGAAATTCTATAAATTCATATGTACCATTGTTAGATTCACTTAAAGTTAATTTATTTGATCATCTTAATTTATTAAAATCTAACGACAGATCTTTAAAAACTCACCTTTACTTTCTCTTATCGGATTGGCATTTGTGTCTATATAAAAAAAAAAATTACATCATTGAATAATGTAAACTGCATCTTTTATAAAGAATAGATGTTAAAATATATAATCAGCCGGTTTCACCAACTATTATTAAATACACTCTTAACACAATGTTAGTTAACAATTCATTTAAATTTAACATCTGGTTAAAAGAAATAAGTTTCACCATATCAACATTATTATTGTTGGATTTTATTTGTTAAGTTAACAAAATAAACTCGGTTTAAATCCAAGTCTTACTTGCCGAAAAACGTAGAATAAGGGCTCAATGGCAAAACTTTAGATACACTTGCGACAAGGCCAGACTTAACCAATTAAACAATAAAATAAAAAAGGCCATCCAAAAAGACAGAAATCACTCGTACAACACTTATGTAGAATCCCTAACCACAAAAAATGGGTCCCTATGGAAAGCAACCAAATCCATACTCCGTCTAAACCAGCCTACCCCTCCTTTACGAAATGCAGACAACTCATGGCTTATAGCTGACACGGACAAAGCTTAATATTCTAGCCCAACATCTTAAAAATACATTCACTCCTCATGATATCCTGCCCAGTCCTACCCAGTTAAGAATTGTTAAAAACTTCATTGAATCTCCTCTCCCAATGTCCCTACCTGCCAAAACTACTTCTCCCGCTGAAATAAATAATATCATTAATAAAATCCCTATCAATAACTCTCCAGGTTTCGACCTAATCACTAACTTTATTATAAAAAAACCTACCACGTAAAGTCACAATAAGCTGACTATATATAAGTCAATAATTCGTCCAGCCTGGCTCTACGGTATCCAACTATGGGGGACTGCTAATCGGTCCAACACCAAAACCCTCCAAGCGTTCCAGTCAATCTGCCTACGAATAATTACCTCTGTCCCTTAGTATGTAACAGACAATAACCTCCATGAAGACTTAAAACTACCAACCCTCAACGAACTGGCCAAATCCCACTATTCCAAATTTTACTCTAAACTACACTCCCATTCCAATCATCTAATTAAAAAATTATCCTCTGTCTCACTTATTCCTAGAAGGCTAAAAAAACAATGGCCCAAGGACCTGCTTAACGCATAAACATTAATTTTTCTGGTCAGGTGGCATTGCTGAGAGCCTTCCTATTCACACATTATGTCATTGTATCGTTGTCATCAGACTTGCTGATTATACATATTTTGTATAGATTGTAAATAAAGAAAATATATTGTTAATTAAAAAAAAAAAAAAAAAGTTAACAAAACGTTAGTTGGGCTACCAAAGCGGTTACCTCGATTCCAACGTTCTCATTGGTTATTAAGATAAGTGATAACTGATAAGTGATTGTATTATTTAATTTGCCAGTTTGTTATTATTTGGCATTTTATTTTACTTTATTTTAACGTTTCGGTTTATATATATAATTTATACACAAAGTTTTTAACACATTGTTTAGATAGTCTATACCTTTCTAAAAAAAAGTTTATCATCAAGGTCATTAAAATAATTTTTTCTATTTTGAAGGCCTAAAAAAAAATTAGGTAGTGATAAGAATTATTTCCATTGTTATACTCAGGACAGGCAAGACATAATAATATTATCTAAATTACAAAATACAATAAATTATGATATTTGAACCTATAATGCAAATCTGTGTCATTCCTTTTTACCAAATCTACCTATATAAAAAAACTTCTGCCTACCTAATAAAGGGTTATCGAAGATGTCTCTAAATACTCAACATAAAGAAGTTCCCCATCAAATGTGTAATTCATTATTATATATTACTAGTATACTCAGGCAACAAAAATTATAAAACAATTTCTGAACTCTTAATGATACAAATATTAAATATATAAGTACTACAATACATTTTAACATGCCGATTAACTTTTAAACAAGCTGATTTCGGGTGATTAATTTTACAATCGTTTAAACAATGTGATAAGGCTAACAATCACGACGAAACCCAATTTTCACTAACTAGTTGTTAAATATAAATAACAATAAGTTAAATTCTTAAAAAATGTTGGTGAAACCGGCTCACTGTGTTCAGATTTCAGTGCATTAATAATACTCAATAATGCGACTCATATACATTACCTTGGAAAAACGCCATCGTAATTAATAACAAAGTAATACAAATCAAAAAGGTCTTCATAGTTATTATGATTATTATACCTATTTAGAACAACGTCAAGTACTTAATAGAATTAATACTTTATTGATACGTAATACAAGTTATATTGACAACAAAAGACTCCTTTGTTGAGCTGAAGGAAATATATGTAAGAATATTTTGTATGTGTACAACTGTATAAATACCAGATATCGTATGATGTATTCGCTATTATGTTTTAACATTAACGCTTTTAACGTTCCTAACCATTACACAAATGTATATTTTTTTATGTACAGAATTTGCACTGTTTTTATAGTTTACAACATACACTGCCATTTTAACAACTATATGAAAGAATTTTACAGAATTCCATAGATCTTCTTTTAGGTATTTGACCTATTTGAAAAATAAATTTGATTTCTTATTTGATGCAATTATACGTTATATTATGACTGAACTGCTATGGCCTAAGCTATAATTATTTGAATTTTCGGTAGAGAAGGAGGCTGAATATATTTTTATTAGAGCTATAAAACAATTATTTCAAAAGAATTCTTGCCAAAATAGCAACATAAAACCAATCAGTAGAGCAAGGTTGAGATGGCCAGTATGTTACAGATTCCTTCAATTTGTAGTCAGGACAGGTGTCTCATCAAATCTGATAAAAACATACAGTGTGTACTGTGTACCTAATTAATATTTCCCGTAAATAAATGCCACATTATGTACATACAAATATTGGAAGCCAAGTTCACATTTACAAACGTCGGTGGTGTGAAACATGTGGTGTGTCTTACACGTGTTCGGTGTGTGCTAATGCCTCAGGCCCTTGGCTAGAAAGGTTCATTATTACCCAAAGTTTCAAAAAAAACAAAAATTTAATAGGTAACATTTCATATTTTGTACACTAAAAAATGTACAAAAAAGGAAAAAGACCACGTACCAACATCTAAAAAATCTAAACAAAAATTAGCAACATATTATATCCACTGTGCTTCACGTAATTTAAACTTGATGCTATAAACGATGCATCGAACTCATCAACGGAGGTAAACAAATTTTTTAGGCTTTTGGAAAAAAAATGTATACATGGCAAGTGTACAAATCTTAGGAAAAGTATAATTTACTCGAAAGTTGTGAAAAAAACTTTTATGGAGTATTTAAATGTGTATTTGAATATTTGCACCATACAGAGCTCTACACGTTTACTTAAAAAATGGGGACTTTTATTTATAATAAAAATAGTATAATTTATGATTATTATGGCTGAAATGTGTGTTGCTATGCTGAAACGGCTGCGATAACAACCGTCTCAGACTTCAGTTGTCTTTCAGCTTTTCACGAGCAAACGACATTTTTGTTGGAAATACAGTTTTTGCGTTTCAAGTATTATATCTAATATTCTGAAATATGTGCTCTACTATGGAGAAGATTTTGTGGGCCGGCGGCGCCGTTCTAACGGTAACTGGCGGCGGTTACCTGCTCTATAAGGTACGCGTATGAACATACATATTGTTTGATGACATGTTCAACGACACACCTTCGACCGGGGCTCGCTGTTTTGTCAGTGTCAGCACAATAGTTATTAGTTTAAATAAAAATTGTTCTCGTGTTCAAGGCCAAAAAGAAATGGTGGGACGCGGCACCGGTAGAACTTGCACCGGCTGAATCCGCACCGGTAGAACTAGCACCGGTAGAACTTACACCGGTAGAACTTGCACTGGTTGCACTTGCACCGGCTGAACTTGCACCGGCTGAATCCGCACCGGTAGAACTTCCACCGGCTGAATCCGCACCGGTAGAACCCGCATTGGTAGAACTTGCACCGGTAGAACCCGCTCCGGTAGAACTTGTACCGGTACAACTTGAACCTGTAGAACCCGCTCCGGTAGAACTTGCACCGGTAGAACCCGCTCCGGTAGTACCTGCGTGTTACTACCACGACAGATACGGGTCGGCGGCGCACAGATGTCGTCCTCCGTGCGGCTACAGGCCAACTGAGGCAGGACAGCCGGAGCCACCGTGTGTGTACCACAGGCGACACGGCGCGGATGCAGTAAACTGCATACTGCCGTGTGGATTTGCAGGAGTGCAGGAGTACGGCATAGGGGAGCCCGTACCATACTGCATATACCATCGACGGTTCGGTCCGGAGGCGGTGAACTGCCGAGCCCCTTGTGGCTTTAGGGCCATACACTGAGGTAACACATTCATTAGTTTCCACAAAAAGCAACATACTGCAACGCGTTGATAATATTTCTTTGTCAGTCTCCTTTTTTTTTCTCTCTGTTAATATTGAACCCCCAGGTATATTTAACTTGTTTGACTCTACTGAACTTGTATCTACAGACTTTCAGGTGTGGAAAAACGGCCGTACTATCTTGTTGGAGACCACCACTACAATTATTAGTTGTCTACGGCCGCCGTGTTTGAACCCATCACGTGGTTTTTTCTCTCTATCTATTATTGCGATATACGCCTGTATATCTTGGTGGAAGTTAGTATTTAAGTAGAAAATAAAACACAACAATAATATGTTTAACACAATACTATTAAATATAAAAACACACACAGTATAGAGAATAATATATATACAACGTACGTTTCAATTATAACAGCAGCCGTAATAGAATGGTAAATCCAACACCTTAATACTATGTCTTATATACTATACAATCTAGGTTACAGACGTAATTGGTCCTTGTATAAACAACTTAAATATTACTCATGATTTCATCAGTGTACACTTATACTACCATATAAGGTTATATAATAATTATTACTTATCCATGACCCAAATAAACAATATTAATTATATTCAATACACCCCCTTAATTAATATTCCCTTAAATTAACTTATTCTACTGTGATATCTTCTGTATTCCGATGCTTGATCGAATCATCCCAAATCTGTCCTTTGGAAGTGCTTTTGTGAAGATATCTGCCAACATTTCTTCTGTGTTTATGTATTGAACTTCGAATTGACCTTCTTCATATTTTTCACGAATGAAATGATATCGTACATCGATGTGCTTGGTTTTTCGATGAAACTCCGGATTTTTAACTAAACGAATGGTACTTTGATTATCAATGAATAATGTAGGTTTATCATACATATTATTATTAGTGAGTTCTCGTAAGAAACTTTTAAACCAAATTAGTCCTTTCGTAATGTCCGACGCTGCAATGAACTCCGCTTCCGTACTACTAAGAGAGACCGTTGCTTGACGTTGAGCTTGCCAAGATATTGTAGATGAACCCAACATGAATAGATGTCCCGAAGTTGATCTCCTTGTTTCTAAATCTCCAGCATAATCAGAATCTGTAAATATTCTTAAATCTAAATTATTATCAGATTTATACACCAATCCATAATCAATTGTATGTTTAACGTAACGTATAATGCGTTTGACCATCAACCAATGAGCATTAGTTGGTTTTGTCAAAAATCGTGATGCAAAATTAACTGCAAATGCCAAATCTGGTCTTGTTAATTGTGACAGGAATAATAAACTTCCCACTGCTTCTCGATACGGTACTTGACCTTCTTTTAGTACTATCGAATCCGTGTGAACATCCAATGTCGTTGATTTATCAATGGGTAATGAGATATCCTTTGCATCTAACATGTTAAATCGTTTAATAATATTTCTAGAATAATTAGTTTGATTAATAAATAATGATCCATCATCTAATCTCTCAACTTTCATTCCTAGAAAATAATTTAAGTTATCGTGTTTAACTTCAAATTCTTTTTCTAATTTGGACAACAACACCCGTATTTTTGTCTTATTGTCCGACGCAATAAGACCATCATCAACAAAAATAGCTAAAATCAATTTTTCATTATTATCATGATTAGTGAAAACACACGAATCATATTTACTTTGATTTAAATTGAATTGCAAAAGGAAATTCTTAAACCGTGTATTCCAACACCGTGGAGATTGTTTTAATCCATATAACGACTTACGTAATTTGCAGACCCGTCCTGAATTGTCGTCATATCCGATCGGTTGTTCCATATACAGTTCGTCTTCCAACATACCATATAGAAATGCTGTACGAATGTCAAATTGGCATAATTCCAATTTCTGAGCCGCACTAATGGCTAAAATTGTTCTAATAGATTCAAATCTAACTACAGGTGAAAATGTTTCGTTATAATTTATCCCATGTATCTGTCGAGACCCGTTAACAACTAATCGAGCCTTAAATCGATCAACCTGCCCGTTACCATTGTACTTGATTTTGTAAACCCATGAATTATTTAATACTTGCTTTCCTTCTGGAATTGGCACCAACGTCCAGGTGTCATTAGTATGCAATGAATTTATCTCGTCGTCCATGGCTAAAATCCAATCATTTTTATTCTGACAGCTCACAGCTTCTTTATAGTTAATCGGTTCTGTAATACACGACGTAATATATGCATATCTGGCCGGTTTACGCAATTGACCTCGATCGCGAAGATTGTAACTTGGTAGTTCTGTTGGCGTGACTTCGAGTTGTTTTTCTGGTTGTACCTCTACCGCCTGAGGTGTTTCCTCGTCGACATTATAATCTTGACTTACATTTTCGCTAAATGTTAATTCATTAGTATTTATTTCTTTTTTAAACACAACATCTCTATAATCTCTTATAGTTTTAGTTTTTGGACAATAAGCCCTATACCCACGTTTATCTAAAGAATACCCGACAAAAATACACAATTTACTTTTAGCGTCCCATTTTCGTCTCTTGGCCTTTGGAATATGAACATACATTTCTGTTCCAAATACCCTTAAATGCCTTATATCTGGTTCTTTGTTAAAATAAAGCTCATATGGACTTTTACCTTCAACAGTACTCTTACCAGTAAGATTGAGTACATACACTGATGTATTAACTGCTTCTGCCCAAAATGATAAGTCCATCTTCTTTGAATGAAGTAATGTTCGTGCTGCTTCCACAATAGTTCTCATTTCACGTTCCGCCCCAGAATTTTGCTCTGGTGTGTACGCTATTGTTTTTTCATGTCGAATGCCATATTTCTGCAAAATACTTGTTACTTCTTTAGAAACAAACTCTAAACCATTATCACTTCTAAAAGCTTTTACTTTATTCCCAGAATCATTTTTAACAGATCTTATAAATAACTCTAATT